CTTTAAGAACTTGCCAGAGTTTGCTGTGGTCCACACAGTCAAAGGCTCTTGCTTAGTCAATGAAGCAGAAGTAGATGTTTTTCTGGAACTCTCTGGCTTTCTCCATAATCCAGCGCATGTTAGCAATTTGGTCCTGAGTTCCTCTGCCCCTTCGGAATCCCGCTTGTACTTCTGGAAGTTCTCGGTCCACATACTGCTGAAGCCTACCTTGTAGGATTTTGAGCATAACCTTGCTAGCGTGTGAAATGAGTGCAATTGTGCGGTAGTTGGAGCATTCTTTCACACTTCCCTTCTTTGGTATTGGGATGTAGACTGATCTTTTCCAGTCCTCCGGCCACTGTTGAGTTTTCCAAACTTGCTGGCATATTGATTGTAGCACCTTAACAGTGTCATCTTTTAAGATTTTAAATAGTTCAACTGGAATGCCATCACCTGGGTTAATATTGGCATAATTTGTAAAATATTGGCATAATTTGTAAAATAAATTCTATTATCCCAACCCCTCCCATAGCCCTGTTTTTGCAAGACATTCTAAGAGCACACAATTATGGTAGCAGAGTGCTTGAGATGAGTGAAGCAAGAGACAGACGAGATGCCTTCTATTCCGTTAACCAAGGAAGTGTACCCCACCTCAAATGCTTCTTCTCCTTCTCCTTCCCTTCCTTCTCCTCCTCCTAGTTTTTACACATAAAAATTGTGATGGTAGCATTTCTTTATCCTGTACTCAGATACATGTCCTATGCCTGTTTAGGTTTCCTTTGCATTTATGCCAACTTCAGTTTGCGAGAAATCATCATATGTTGGCTCAGCTCAGTATTTTACAGCTGTGGCTTTTGGTGCTGTTGGTCTGACCATTATCTTAGTAGAACATTACTAGAAACTAATGCATGACACAGAGAAGCTGACGAGTCACTTTGGATGAGAGGCTTGCTTTTGGAAAATATTTCCGCTTAAAACATTATTCTGGTCACTAGTTTTTAGACAGATAAACTGCTTTCAGAGGATGCCAGGAATTATGGAACTCAGGTGTCAAATGTCTCAAGCAAGACAAGTGAGAAATATATTTTTTTATTTTTCATATCATTTCAGTTCAATACCAACTTTCAAAGCTACTAAGACTTAGTAGACAGTGGCTGAAATATTGCTGCATAGCTAGCTACTCCTGCATAACTTGAAGTTGCAAAATAGATAACAAAATTAGTGCCACGGCAGAACTCATATCCAGCAAACAGATCCACAGGTACTTCACACAGTGAATTGCACAGTGAATTGTAGAATCAGGCACACAATTAGGGACTCAGCGTGGGCTTCCAAGCATAATTCCCTGTGAACGTCTGCAGGCATAACTTTATCCTATGCTAAGTGCAACAGGATTTCAGCCGGTGAAATCCAAGAAATAACAATGGTTAGTAAGTGTTACAAAGTAATCATAACAGGAGCAGGCACCCTACAGTTACAGCCTAACCAGTTTCTTAAGGATGGTTATAGAGCACATCTTTGTAATCTGAACCCTGTTTTCCCATAAGACTCAAATGTTAAAGAAAGGGTTTGGTTCCTGGAGAATTTATAAATGAAACTTCTGCTGTCTTTTCATTTCATCTTTACAACTGTTGTCCTTAGCTTGCTTACTGGACACTCTCCTCTGAATTCTGCTGACTTCTGTCTTTCCTTCCTACCTCCACTCTCTTGTTGTTGCCCTTGGTGATATAAATGCATCAGTTTACAGTGCTATTCACAGTGGTTATAAAAGTTTTAGATACAGGATGGGTGGGTGGATTACCTAAAGCTGGAATGGCTATGAGAGAGGGGAGGTAAAGTGGACCGTTATAAGTGGGTATCCCAGCAACACTACCCACTAAAAATGATGATGCTAATAAAAAGGCATCATCAGACATATTCACCTGATGTCTGAATGTTAACATAAGAAGTACTAGGTAGATTTTCCCAGATAACTTTCTGTAATGTAGTGCCCCAATGGAAAAGACTCCAAATATGTCACTTTTTACAATAAATGGTTGGGCATGATGACTAGGACAAGAGAAGGCAGAGGAAGGCAGTGGAACATTATTTCTTTATGCTTTATTGTGCTTTATTGTAGAAGGTGGCAAACACTTGCTTTTTGCAACCTAGAAGGGGAAAACTGGAGTGTTTTCAGTAGTATCTAAAGAAGCAGTTTAATTTTAATAGCAGTAGAACCTGTGTTTCCCGGGGTGGGGGGGGTTGTGTGCCATTGTCACTACTGTCCCTAAAGGGATTGTTAATCAGAGGCCGCACAGCTTGCTGTTGGGAATCTGCTTTTGCTGGATTTTCTGCACTGAACTGGGGTAAGAGTAGAGCTGGAATAGAGATTCCCTTCAACTTGGTGATTATATGGAGGTTGTGATTTGTATCCTCATCTGAGTGATAACAGTGCTTAGGTGCCTGGAGCAACCTCTCTTCTCTTCTTCTGCTCTTAGAGGGATGGTTAAAGGTCTGAATAATAAGAATTAGGGGTGCTAAGCTGTAAAACTGTGTTTCTCATTCCAGGAAAAGCTGTGGTAGTAGTAGCAAACACAGTAGATCCCCTGGGCCTTTCTTATGCTGTCTGACTGCCCATCCCACACAACCTGACTGATACACAAATTTAGCTGTATTCCGCCGCCACCCAATCTTAAAACAACAACAACAAAGGGGAGGGCTGGCCTCTGCCTGTTTCTTCCTTTCCCTTGGGTTCTTGACATTTTGGGGCAGTTATGTGGTTCTGGGAACAGAAATGTTGCCTTTGTGCCACTGGAAGATGCCCACTTACAGCAGAAACAATGGGTAGTATTAAGGTGTTCCCTAAATTGAGCTATAGATAGCTATGCAGGCACCACTGAATGATTAGCAAGGGCAGTACTCTAATTCAGTTTTACATTATAATCTGCTATTGATTGAGCCTGTCAACTCAGCCATACTTTAATTCCAGTCTCCATGCTTGAGGCAATTTATATTTGATGTTCAGAAATATAACTCAGTGCATGGCCCCTGCAAATTAATCAACACTGAAGGCTATGTGTAATAGCCGTATGTTATATTTGATATCAAGGGTAAACATGCTTTCACTGCTTTGACCCTAGTTCAAAGCACATCCCATTGGTTGTAGAAATCACAGACGGCCCCTTGTGGGAACTGTCTGGTGTTCTTAATAGCATCCAGAAATTCCACAAAGAATGGTAGTTGACTTCTTTTTATTGCCATCTTAACATTGTTGGTTTAAAGAAATGGGTTAATTCTAAGTAAACCATAAATCCACCTCTATCAGTGTCTTGTGCTTTCCTTAGGTTTAATGTCATTGCAGAACTGCATGATTTCTATTAAGACACATAAACAGTTCATCAGTAAACATAGTCATAACCTGGTGAACTGAAAATTTGTGGCCTACTTTGTCTTCCAGCAGGGAAGAGGAATATCGATTTATTTTTGGCACACAGGTTTTGCTGAATTTTTTATACAGGCTAGAACATTGTATGGATACGGAACTGTCAGATGAGAAATTTAATGGATCAGGATTCTCTGTGCAGGACCAACAGAATGTGCTCACTTCTGCTCAAGATGGTGGCCTGACCATATTTATTGTAACATTTGCACATAGGACAAAAAACACACATCAGTGTTGCTGGCATTATTTTCTTATAATACAGAATAAACTGGATAGTAAACAGCCACCAGTGAACTTAGTTGAACTTGCTTCTGAGTAAATGCATCTTGTAAAGGGTTTTCAGTTTAACTGTGCCGAAAAACCATCAGCAGATAGCTAAGGGACATCCTTTTCTTTTGCACTAGGTAGCACTGATGGGTTTACTAATGCTAGTTTATTACCTGCTCCTTGGCTTTTAATGCAAATAGTGCACTTTGTCCAGAGGAGCGTGTGAATTTGAAATATACAGTGTTCTTTTTTTCTGTTTTGGTTTCAAGGAACAGCTTCACCTGACCATGATGATCACAAGCTGCTTTTGAAATATTTCCAGTTGGCTTATTGGCTGTAGTGGAGAAAGAGGGGCTGCACTTGGAAAGGGAAGGGGAAGAAGCCCCATGGAATGGATTCTAGGTTGTTCTCACTGTACATGCAAAAGATAACTGAACGTCAGTTGCACCTTGTTTGGTCCTCTGAAAGGAAATTTTGCATCTGCATTCATATTTACAAGATATTTCTGAAGCCTTGAAGGCTTGAAGACTTTACTGCCACATGTTTTTACTACTCTCAGGAAAGCCAGAAGCAATACTTAAGTGTATCAGGCTTAGACTTTTTGGGGGTTGGGAAGCCCATTTACATGAGTCTGGACATCGCCCATCAAGACCTTCCTGATTGCAACTTACCTTGCAGGGAAGGCAGCTGTCATTCAAAGATAATTCCTCCTGAGTGTGCGCTGGATCAAAGTGGTGGCCAGGCAGACCTTCCTTTTATTGGGAAGGATCCCGAGGTGGATGTCTTCTTCATGAGTCTGAAAGGTAAACTTGTTCTTATCTGTACGCTTATGGTTCTGCTAGTAAACATAATGTGCGAGATAAGACAGTATACTGACTATACTGTATACCATCATTTGAAGGCCATGAGATCCATACCCATTATGGCTGTCTTCTTCAGAAGTGAGAGCCATATGGATTGGTGTAGGAGGAACTAGCTGAACCGCTATCTTCACAGACAAGGACAAGTTTAACTTTCTGCTATACCCCTATACCAATCCACATCCTTGAAACCTGGTGGGTCAAACTTTGGTATTGGATGAACAGAGATAAAAAGAAAGACAGTTCAGGAATCTGAGAGTGTTGTGTAAGAAGCCGCAAACTTCCTCCTTTGGTTGTCTGAGGTAAAAATCAACTGCATGATGATCCTGCTTCACTTCAGATGTTAAAAATGCCCTGTATGGCCTTTAGCACTAATAGTTATTTTCCCCATGCACTAAGTGTTCTTGATGAAACACTTAGATCTAACAAATTTGCCCAAAGTAAGAGTTCATTGGAAGCTAAGGATATTGCAATTTAGGAATTTGATGTGTTGCAAAAGTGTTGTTTACATAATTATATTGAAACTGCCCAGAGAGTGTTTTGGCACTATGGGATGGTAAATAAGTCAAAACAACAACAGAAGTATAGTCTAAGAACCATATAGCAAAAAAAAAAAAAAGAAGAAGAAAAAAAAGAAAAAGAAAAAGAAAAGAAAAAAATCCAATGATCTGATATAGCAAGGTCTTGGTTATAAATGTTTAATATGAAATGCTGATTAGTTGGTGTATTTGCATAAAAAGAGATTTGTCCTAAATGTATAGATCAAAAGAAGGTCATTTCTCTTAAATTGCTGTGGGGCACAATTTCCTAAAATTGATAGAAGGACAAAATGTTCGGAATTATCTTAGTTATGTAGTAGATAATTTGCATAATAACTTTACTGTTGATTTTGGCAGTACAGCAATATACCAAGAGTATTTGAAACATCATTCTGAAAGCCAGAAATATTTGCTACCAGTTCTTAAAGTAGGCAGCAAAGGAGAAAGAATATTTCTTAAGCATTATGTATAGGTCTTGCCATCAGATTATAAACATATTTACTCAGAAGGACATCCTGCAGAATTCTGTGAACTGAATTCTCTCTTAACATGACAACCTCAAATTATTGTTTCTGTTCTCTAAATTATTTCTAATCAGTGCTAATGTTTAATCTGTGTGTACACCAGAAAAGAAACATACTATAATAAAACTTTCTTTCGGCTGGTGGTAATCATACCTACAAGGGAGTAAACCCCACTAGGATCAGTGGGACTTAATTATGAATAAACATTCTTAGGATTACAGTGCTAAAACTTTAGTGTCTTTGTATACCAGTTTCAGTTAGATATGTCCATGTGGATTATTTAACTTGCCAGAAAAGTAAGCTAGGTTGTTCTGGAATTATTTGTTGCTGCACCTATGTTGGCTACAAGCAGTCTGCTTTACTTCTAGCTTCTGAAGTATAATTTTAAAAATACAAATTTGAGTGTTTGAATATGAGCTGGTGTAAGTTTTTCCAACTTGCACACACTTTTTAAGGCATGATTCATATATTACCCCAGTTTAAAATACCTTGGCCAGAATCCTGTTACTTTTGCCCACTAGCATAACAGCAGCAGCACAACTTTCAGCAATGAATTGTCATTGCTTAAGAAGCTAAAGTAGCCATTTCTTCTCACACACCAATTGCTTGACTCAGTATATGATAGGAAATGCCAACTCTGACTTCTTAACTTGTAATAGTTTCTTCTTGAAATTTATGCTGCTGACATTATGGGGATGGGAATATATAATAGGATTTTGGCGTATTCAGTACATCTTCAGAGGCATGCTTCATGATTTAAATTTAGTATGATGACAAACTGATTTTTTATTTGGTTACTTATCTTTTCTCCATAATATGTTTTTCATTCCTGCAGCACTTGCAATCTGCAAAGAATGCATGTCGTAGGTGCAGTGATTTTAACTAGTCTTTTTTTTAATGGAAGTACACGAATTCCCTCACACTGGTTGTTTGTAGCAAAGGAAAGTTGTACCTACTGTTCTGTTCACAGAACATTTGTAAGAGGAGTATGTACACAAACTATTAATGAAATGCATGTCTTCAAGCACAGAATTCGGTTATTACTATGAGATTACTGAAAAAATACCACACTGGTTTCAGGATAAGGAAATAGGGATTTAGTGTCATCAGGAAAGGTAAGCCAGTTGTGTTAGCAGTAACTAGGTAGTTTGTCTAAATGCGTGCTTGTCACACTGTTTGTGGGGGAAGTATTAGTATATATTTTTGCTGCATTGTTTATAAAACATGGAATGTGATGTATTTATTTTTCCAACTTGTGTTGCAGGCTCCTATGGGGACTTGCTGGGGTGACATCTCCGAAGGAGTGCGTGTAGAAGTCCCTAACACAGACTGCAGCCTACCTACCAAAGTCTTTTGGATTGCTGGGATTGTGAAATTAGCAGGTTATTAATTTTGTGTAGCATAATGTATTTTAAAACTTAATTGTCTAGAAACTATTGAGGTTATTAAGCACATCTGTACAAAATGCATGGTAGTATTGGAGAATGACTTTGGACATGATCATTGGGTTGCTTAGAGACAGGAGATCTCTGTTAAGTGACATCAGCAATCTTTAAAATTCTAGCTATAAGGGATACTGAAGCAGGGTTTAATAATCCAACATAGTGGCATTTGCTATATTGAGCAATGCAGAAACTACTAGTAGGGCCTTTCCCCTTCTACACAGCAATTGTATCTGTTGATCTTTAAACTTACATTTATATTTGGCACAGTCTGAAATACAGCAAATGCATATATATCTGTGCGCACTTATGATACACAGAGTTTGTGAGACTGCCTCTGGTTGTTTTGGAGCAAGGTGATAATCAGTACTGTACACTAGTAAGTTTTGAGGCCATTTCTTTTTGCTCTGAATTGTATGTATTTGCCTTTGAATTACAAAAGCTTCAGAATTGGCCAGGTCGAAGAATCAAGTGGCATGGACAGTTTTGTCAAATATGTTGATCATCCAATGTGATTTTTGAAAAAGCTTTAATATTTAGAGGATCTTCTGTGCATACTTTTAGTGAATAGGAATATCGTTGCATTACCTTTGCTTGTTGTCCAGTGCACCTTAAACTATTTTCCCCTTCCCCATTTTTCTTGGCCTCTAAAACAGGAGACCAGCCTCTCTTCCTCAAACCCGGAGTAGGCAGCAGCATTTGGAGAGCACTTCCTGCATCCCTTCCCTTCTTCTGGAAGTCTTTGCAAATGTGATGCTGACATGTCTGTGTTGTTCCCTCAAAACTAATATAACTAGGATGCAACTTTTCTATCTTTCAGGTTACAATGCTTTATTAAGATACGAAGGCTTTGAAAGTGATTCGAATCTGGACTTCTGGTGCAACATCTGTGGTCCTGATATCCATCCAGTTGGCTGGTGTGCAACCAGTGGAAAACCTCTAGTGCCACCTCGATGTATGTAAATCTAGCAGTAATGGGTTGATCTTCCAGCTATAATATTTTCTCTGTACAGTATTTATCATATTATGTTAAATGCCTCTGAAATGTGACCTTGCTCTGGCAGTGTCTGTAACACTTTGTAGGTATTCACTTCCTGACATGTAGGCCAAAAAGGTGGCAGGGAAACGGTATCACTCCATGACCTTTGCTTGTTGGCCAGTGCATCTTAAAACTCTTTCCCCTTCCTTGTCTTTGTTCCATTAGCTCCGCCATGCATGTTCCTACCCATCCAGAATTACTCTAGACATTTGAATGTTGAGTGCAGACTTTGCAAAGGGCTTTGCAACACCATTTGGCTAAATCAGTTACAGAGTTCCTATTATCGGGAACCCTACTTTATGAAGTTTACTGTCATGGGAGCTTTATAATGATGCTTAGCCAACTGCAGTTAAGCCTCCTGCAGACCTTTGTACTCAGAATGGCAAGGTCTGTGATGCTTCTAGATATGTGGAGACATCTGGGGTAGGGTTAATGAGTGCACTGACACCCACTCTGCACTGCCATTTAGCCCTTTGTGTGTCCAGGCAAACACTTTAATAGGGATTATATCTTGCCTTGTATCACTGTTGTGTGCATTATATATTAATCACATGTGTGCAGAACTGGAGGTATCATTTCCTTGTAGTGGGGCTACCAAAATCATTGGTGTACTTGTAGATAATGCAGGTTGATTATCTGCAGAAATCAGGAAATTGTGCCATGATCACTCACAACAAACTCAAAATGCATGCAACGAAACAATGAATGTTTTCTTCTCTGAACACCCAACAGCTATTCAACACAAATATATGAACTGGAAAACTTTCCTGGTGAAACGACTCACTGGTGCCAAAACTCTTCCCCCTGACTTCTCTCAGAAGGTAAGGCTGGTTCCAAGGGCTGATCATGCCTATTTTTTTCCTCATGGAAAGTGGTGCTGCCAGATCTTTGGTGATCTTCTGGATCATTGTGCAGTTTCTGGAGGGGCAGATTTGGGCAGGAGGGATGAAGTTTTCTTCTACCAGTCCTCAACAGGGTGATAATGCAGGGGTGCAACGCTTGCACAAGAATTGCTGCTGAACAAACAGCAATATCCATTAAGAAAATCAGCCCCTCCTGATCACAACATCAGAGGAGCAGGCATTTACCCAAGGCAACCCAGGGCATGGCAAATCATATATATATAGAAGAAATATGGGAAAAAATCTATTTAACGATTTACGTGTGTTAATGCTCCACAATGCTTTGTTTTCAGGTATCAGAAAGCATGCAGTATCCTTTCAAGCCTTCTATGAGAGTAGAAGTTGTTGATAAAACACACCTCTGCCGAACACGGGTAGCAATTGTAGACAACGTAATTGGAGGCAGGTTAAGATTAGTATATGAAGAAAGTGAAGACAAAACAGATGATTTTTGGTGCCATATGTATAGCCCACTCATCCATCCCATTGGTTGGTCTCGAAGTATAGGACATCGGTTCAAAAGATCTGGTAAGCTCACCTGGCAAAAAAGGTGCTAACTGAATAGCATCATATCCTTCTTTTAAATAATAAAATAAAAATAATTGTGTGCCGACAAATCATTTCTGACTTATGGCAGCCCTTTTCAGGGTTTTCCAGGTAGAGAATACTCAGAGAATACTCATCCCACACAGGTGGGTTGTACTCACAGGAGGCACAGTGGGGGAATTGAACTCACAGTCTCTGGCTCCACAGCCAGATACGTAAACCACTGAGCTATCCAGCCAGATGCCTTTTGGATAACAGCAACTTAAATATGGATGCTATTTTAATGGATAACTTTCTTGTTTTCCACAAACACATGAGAAGTACCACACTATTATTCATCACAGCTCTTGAAATATGTGCCTGGGAGTAGCTTTGTTGTAGAAGCATTATAATTTTTAAGTAATTATGTATTTGAAGCAATAAAGAGGTAGAAGTCTCACTCTTCTACTCCCACCCATCCTCTGTCTCTTTTGCAGATATCACAAAGAAACAGGAATCTTACTTTGATGCACCTCCACATTTATTTGTTAAGGTATGATGTTTTTACAGAGAATGACATTTATAATGGAAGAAGTTATTTGTAAAAACTGGCACATGAGAAGCTAACAGATAACATTGTGATCTATCAGTATGGAGAAAAATTGACTTCTGCCATGGGAAGATTATAAATATTTACTTATTGGTTGGTGCGTACAGAAGTAATTCTTGAAGAGATTGGTTTGCTCTCATTTGCTGCAAATTATATTTAATTGTTTTGTATTTCTCTTGCTTGCCATCTGAGGAGGTTGTTGTGGTTTCTTTAGGTAAAAGAAATAGAGTCAAGTGGAGAATGGTTCAAGGAGGGAATGAAGTTGGAAGCCATAGATCCATTAAATCTTTCTGCAATATGTGTGGCAACTATTAGAAAGGTAAAGGCATATATTTGGGGAGATAAGAATGAGGAAGTTGAGGTGGCCATTTTTATACTATATTCATGTTGCAATCAGAATCAACAAAGTTGTTAAAAATCTAAATTATTGAAATAGAATAAATGTGTAGCATGCTGTCTTCCCGTGGTTGCATTATGTGCATGTGCCCGTGCTATATTTCATTTTATATTTCCATTACTTGATACCTTGATCATCTTTGTGTGTGTGTGTGTTTTATTGTTTTATCTGATTGTAAACTGCCCAGAGTAGTGTGTCTGCACTAATGGGATGGTAAACAAATTAAATAAAGTAAGTAAGTAGGTCTGTAGATCAATAACAACTTGGAACCAAATTGCCTAACATATTTACAGTACTACTGAAACCAAGGAGATGATTTAGCAAGTGAGTTATTTACACACCCTTACTAAAACTATTCCCATCTAAAGATGTTAGGTGGATTAGATTCTGAAGGTCTGTCCCATATGATACTTGAAATGCAGCACCTAATAGGAGCCTGAAGTATTAACATAACTCTTTCAATCTAAACACTAAAATAAACTTAGTTGTATAGTGAATACTCAATACAATTGTTCTCTATTAAACACCAGTGCATTTGTAATATTTCTAGTCTTAGTCACATTGGGCTGATGAATTGCAAACTCTGTCATCCTTCACCTCTCACCTTTAACTAAGGCTAAAGCTTGTTTTACTGTGGCGTTTGAGCACAGCTAATGCTGGTCTAAGTTAACTGTTAACTAGGAGTTGAAACTATTTAAATCTGGGTTTTTAATCCTAAATTTATAATGACTGTAGTTAGTATGATTTGTGTTTAAGACTACTGAGGCGAACTTTGAGCAGGAGAGGAAAGGAAGCGCACAGTGCTATGTTCTGCTTCTACTCCCTCAATATCTATAAGGGGTCAGGAGTGGTACATATGTATGGGTTGAATAATAATGGCCAAAATCCTCTTGCGAAATTGCAGAACTGTAAGTGTAACTGTAAATCATGGTGACAAGTTGATGCTAATTAATTAGTTATGGTTTGTTTTCATAGTCATTCACCAAATGATGAACAACTAGGAATGTGAACAGCAACTCATTAATTAGCAACAATTCAGTACTGCAATTTATGTAATTACATTTATGCCAGTGTATATCCAAATAGGATTCTGGCTAGTGTTGCAGAATGTTATAATCTGTAGGGGATTTCGTTTTTTGTTTTTTATTTCCCCTGTGGCCATTATGGTTGTCTTTTCTTTTTCTATAAAATTTATATGCATGGTTTTATGGTTTGCCTAACATACATTGTCAAATGCAATGGCTGTCTACACAAGTAACTTCCTCTTGAATTTTTAAAGTATTAATCTTAACTTCTTGGCTTTTCCTTCTTAAACTGCTTTATTGATATGTTTTGTATTTCTAGGTATTAGCAGATGGATATCTTATGATTGGAATTGATGGTTCTGAGGCGGCAGATGGGTCTGACTGGTTCTGTTACCATGCCACCTCCCCTTCTATATTCCCTGTTGGTTTCTGTGAAATCAACATGATAGAACTAACTCCACCCCGAGGTATTTCTTTCTTATCATAAATATGTATACAGTTAATCCTGACTTATGACAGTGCTTTCCAGGATTTTCTAAGCGTAGAGCATCTCGGAAGTTATTATTCCCTCCTCCTGAGGAGCTCTGGGGCTGTACAATTTCCCTAAGGCTACATAAGCTAATTTTTCTCTTGTGTGGCACAGTGGGGCATTGGATTCCATTCCCCTGGCTCCGCAACCAGATGCTACCCAGTCAGCAAATAGATATGTATGCTGGCAGTAGTATCTGAAATAAACCAATTCTTTCCTATGTAGCTTCTTTGGAATCAGTATTTAATTTGAAGTTGACCTTGTGTCGTGCTTCTGGATTTCCCAGAGGTATTTGGTTGGTTGTCATTCTGAGAAACAGAATGAGGGATTGGATGATCCATTACGAGAAAGGAAGACACTTACCCAGCCTTCTAAATGTTTGCCACTTGGACAAGACAGCTTGTATAGGGAGGGAGGGAGATGAATGCACAGCATAAAAATGGCCGCATTAGTTGAATTCAAGGAATCAAAGAGGAAGTGCATAATGAATGGCATTGTGGTAGGTGTCAAGCATGGTTATGTGGAATGTGATAACTTTGAGGTTATGTATATAGCCTTACTGTTCTTAACCATATTTTTAGTATGAGCATCCTCCTATATAGTTATCAACACATGTTTCAGTAATACATTAAATCTAGATTCTTCTAGATACAGATATCCCCACAAACACAAAGCTGACTTTTCGGGGCAGTTTGGAGACTGAAACACCCTAGCGTCTAATAGCCTGTCTTTGTTATAGAAGAGTAATGAACATAACCTGAAGCATTGGTTGTTCATTCGTTTGACAATTGTTGTATTGTAGAACATCTGTTTCTTATATTTTGTTAAAGTGAATCCTTAGCAGCAGCTCAGGTTTTTTTTAAAAGTAGGACAGCAACAGTGTATCTGTTCTCTAGCTACAATGGAATACTAATTCAGAAGCGGTTGTGTGTAGTGTCCAAAACTGAGTGGAACTGCCACTAGGTGACAGAAATTTCTGTATTTATAATAGAGGCAAAGCTCTCTGACATCTAAGTGACTGTAGCTGCCCCTCACTTAGAGCTCTGTGGATGCATTTAGGGCCCCTTTGTGCACATTGAAGCTTCTGCAGAGGCAGGGCCTGTGCCTCAGTGATAAAGCACCAAACCTAAGTTATGGGCAGCTATGTAAGTATAGCAAGTTCAAAAGATTGAGTATTTAAGGAAATGTATACCCTTCTCTCCCACTGTCGTCACAGTGGTTAAATAAGATATATCAGGCAAAAACAAAAGAAAAATAAAAGAATAAAGAAAAACAAAACCATTGTAGCATCTTAAAACTAACTGCTGTATTTTAATATGTGCTTTCATGGACAAGTCCACTTCCTCAGACATAAGAGTGGGACTGCCAGTATTGATGTTGAAAATACTGATCAATGATCTTTTTATGCTGCAGTTACATAAAAGCTATTGATTTGTAGGTTATGCAAAACTACCTTTCAAATGGTTTGACTACCTCAGGGAAACGGGTTCAGTAGCAGCCCCTGTGAAGCTCTTTAACAAGGTAAGATGACATATAGATCAGAATGGATTATTAAGTAGAATTTACCTATACTTTGTGTTCTTGTTACGTTTGCTGCCTACATGGAAATGACTTTGGGTCTTGTTATGGAAGCTTCTTAAAATAAATATAGGGAAGGTACCTTCTGTCTTCTCTATATGCAGTCCTCCTGTATGCAGTCCTCCTAGTTATTTTTGCTGCCTAAAATCATCCCAGCTTTGTACCAGAGATTTTTTTCCCATAGGAAAAACATGTTCGTGTCTGACATGGCCAGATGTGTCTAACTGAAGCTCCAGAATCACTTATGATTTTAAAAACATCAGTTTTGGTTCAGGAAAAATCTCCCCCCCCCCAGCTAAAAGAGGCCCCTAGTCCCAGAAAATGAACCAAAATGACTAGATATGCCCTGCATAGTCTTTTGTAGATGTGGTTGGTGATTTTAGATCATTGAGTAGTTGAGTTCAGAGGAGCTCAACAAGCCAAATTGGCAGGGACAGGTGTAACCTCCATTACTCTTAGTATGAGACTAGGGATTGTTGTGATGGTTAAGGTAGAGAAGAATGATAATGTGTTCTTCTAGGCTGGTCAGTCTGGCACTGGAATAAAGCTACTTGAATGCTATAAGGCAAGGATAGGCAACATGCAGTCCACAGATGACATGTCGCCCTGCCAGGGCATGCAGAGTATGTTCCCTGAGCATCCAACGCCATTAAAAAATACTCCCTCCATCAGTACAAGTTTCACCCTGATGTCTCTGGATGGTGTGATAATACTGCTTAAGTACAGTTTCCTGCCCCACCTATTTTAGGTCTAAAACAGTTTTTTATATATATGTGAAAAAGGGAAGTGGTCAGCAGGTCACTTCTGGTGCCTAGAAAAAGCTTAACAGAGTTGTGGTGGGTAGCAGAATTGTATTTGAATATTTCCCCCCCCCCAGTCTTCTGTGGCATGTGTGTGTGTGTGTGTGTGTGTTCATGTGTGTGCAAATTGTATTTTGAAGGAGTTTTTTTCAAGGGACATGGGATGGAGGCGGCAGGGACATGTGCAGGCCTCTCAAGAACCAGCAGAGGGCAAAAGTTGATCTTGATCTTTTGCCGGCCGGGGTTATGCTGCCTTAAGGTCAGTGTGACAACGGGGCGTGGGACTCTCCCATATAAGGTTGGTGAAGGGGTCCAGTGAGACTTTGAGCACCAGGGGCCTGCAGTAGCCTGCACTACTGCAGGCCCCTAGTTCTGAGGCCAAAAAGTTACTGACATTTTTATTCATTAAATTGTAGCCCTAGTTTACCCCACTCCCTGCGTCTCGCCTCTTTATTCCAAGGTGGGAGGGCAATGCAGTTAGAAATGCAGGCCTAAATCTGATTGTTAGCCCCACTGAATCAGTGGCACTTCTGTGAGTTCTGACTAGTCAAAGCCCAACTCTAGTTGCTCTGCACTTCATAGCAAGGGGGGAGGATTAAGTAGTAGAAGTGAGGACTTAAGTAGAAGAATAAATATATTGGCAAAAACTGAAGAAGGGACTGGCTGTTACGAACTAGGAACAGATTCTTGTGCTGGATCTTGGAGCTCTGTTCTTTCCTCTTTGTAACAATTTTTTTTCCTGTCTCTAATACAGATCTGTGGACTCCTGCGCTACCCCCTACCCTTATCTCATTGTCCTGTTTTCACTAGATAGAAAGTGAAGGAGGATGACCCCCTTTAATAGTAGTTCAGTTCTTCTTGGGATATCCAGATTGTATTTATGGTGACAGGTTCTGATTGACCTCAAGCCAGTGTTGTGCTGACTCGTACGTTAATATGGGAGTGATAAGAGCAGAGAGAAAGACTTTTTGGGAGATGAGAAATTGTAATAGAAAAGCTTTGATTTTCACATACAATCTAAGCTAATTGCTCTGTTTCCCTCTTCTAGGAAGTTCCAAACCATGGGTTTCATGTTGCAATGAAATTGGAAGCTGTGGATCTCATGGAACCTCGTCTAGTATGTGTGGCCACCGTAACTCGCATTATCCATCGCCTCTTGAGGATACATTTTGATGGCTGGGAAGATGAGTATGATCAATGGGTGGACTGTGAATCTCCTGACTTATATCCTGTAGGGTGGTGTCAACTAACTGGTTACCAACTACAGCCTCCTGCGTCACCATGTAAGTAGCCCTTATATGTTGCAGTGTAACCAATCTCCTGTGGTGAAATTTCCCCTCCCTCAATAGATTTGTTTCTGTGTTTGGTTTTTCATCTGTTGTTGGGTTGTTGTTGTGCGTTTTTTGGGCTTTTTGGCCGTGTTCTGAAGATTGTTCTTCCTGACGTTTTGCCAGTCTCTGTGGCCGGCATCTTCAGAGAACTGGAGTAGGAACTCTGTCCATGCTCTGTTGGTGTTTAAACACCAGCAGAGCACAGACAGAGTTCCTACTCCAGTCCTCTGAAGATGCCGGCCACAGAGACTGGCAAAACGTCAGGAAGAACAATCTTCAGAACATGGCCAAAGAGCCCGAAAAACCTACAACAACTATTAGATCCTGGCCATGAAAGCCTTCGCGAATACATTGTGTTTTTTTTTTAATTAAATTTTTATTTTTAACAAGGGGGTGACAAAAAGGAAAAGGGGAATTGACGTTAATAGGGAAGAGGAGAAACAATAACATACTAACATCCATTCTATACCTGTTGCCATATCAAGATTCCAAGTTACTCTATTTACTCTTTTCTGCCTTCCAGGTTTAAGTTCTCATTTCAATATATACTGTACTATTCATGCGCTACCTATTGATTCAATCCACGTAGAATAAGTCCCATCTTTCTGCTGCCTTTTGTAAAGGACAGTCCTTCATCACTTCTGATAAAATGTCCATTTCCGCTATTTCCCGTATCTTCTCTGTGAGATCTTGTTTCGGTTAAAGCCTTCGCGAATACATTGTTGTTGGGTTACCAGCTTGTACAAAAATGGATCAGACATTCAATTAATATTCTAAAGTGTACACCTAATCTGCCCTGCCTGTAGTTAATATTGCTGACAAGCACTCATATTACTATATTTATAGTTATATTTTCCCATACATGCTGATATTTGGAAAAGAAGTTGTTTTTAATGCAGTATTTTACAGTGGCAAAGAAAGATATGTATAGGCTTTAGATCAAATGGTGATTTTTTTTCATATATGTAGAAATAAGGATGAAGAGCATGTTGGTCTGCAGAGCCTATTCTGATATGTTTTTCCTTTTTAGCATGTACAGTAACAGGTGGAAATGTAAATACCTCTTAATGGATTAATGTATATTTGTGTGTGTGTGTGTGTGTGAGAGAGAGAGAGAGAGAGAGAGAATTATTTTTGACATTTTTATCCCACCTATCTAGTGGCAAGGCCACTACTCTGCATGGCTTACAATAACATGATACAGACATGTAATAAAATTACAGTAGTAAATGGATAAAAAAGCTTGATGGTATGAGTTAAATAAGATTGGATGGTGCCGGTATTCATACATATGAATTTTTTTGTTGTCTTCATCACTTTTCCCAAGTAAATTTTCCTTTCCTTTTCTCTCCTTATTGTGGCTGTGTTTTTCTTCTTCATCCACCTAACTTCGAAATTCTTCTTTATTATTTCCACTTGAGTGCTTTTGCCATTGTGGTTTTAACTTGTTTGTTTCTGCACTTTTGCTATACTTTTTATCCCACAGTTATAGTTTTTCATTTATATATCTTCACTTCTCATTCACTACAGTCTCTTAATGGTATCATTATAGTGTTACAGTTAAAACAGTAAATACAGTGGCTCTTTTTGATACACATGGCCTGAAATCTTGTTGCACAGCTCCACATATGTAATTGTGATTATGTCATTACCAGTAAATTGCTGCTATCTAAGGCAAATCACCACTGATTAAAAGTGATTTCATAGAATCAGAGAATAGTAGAGCCAGAAGGAATCCCAAAGATAACAGAGTCTGGCCTCTGCTAGTGAAGGAAATGTCAGGGTGCAAGTGACTCGTACATGAAGCACCCTGAAATCCCCAAAGAAAGCTTTTAATCAGCAGAGCTTTGCTGCTGGCATGATTACTATTGCACACATGGAGCTGTGAAAAGGGATTTCAGGCATTTAATGGGATCATTGGTTGCTTTCTGATAAACTCTTATGTCATCAAACACAAAATGTATGTATTTAAACATAGCTGTTTCAAGCACTTGAAAAGACTCCTATTTCAGTGAAGATCCAGAATGTCATTCTCGAGAGGAGCATGAAGTATCATGCATGGAGGATTTTGTTATGACTGCATTCTCATTTTATTTTCATAAGCAGTATATTTCCTAAATGCAAACTATTTCAAAATATAACATGTTGCACCAGGTTGTATTAAAATACAGTTCTATTTTTTTATAAAAACATATATTTCAGCATCGAGAGACAGCCAGTCAAGCTCATCCAAGCAGAAGAAAAAGTCTAAGTCGCAACAGTATAAAGGACACAAAAAAAGTGGGTAACAAATTGTTTCTTTTTACCCTTGTATTAGAAATTTGTGCTATTTCCCCCTCCCTCCCCAGGAAACATTAGAGTTGTAAAGGCTGCTTTGGTGAAACATTTTTCAAGCTTTGTAGTACACTATGGCATAAATAATATTTTTATAAATTGAGAAATGCGTTTTGTAGTGTAAACAAAGTATTACTGTACATAGTATTTCAATTTTTTAAAGTCAATTTTATAGTTCTGCTGGTTAATATCTTGATATTTGGCTTCAAATCTTTAATGCCGAATATTTTTCTCTCCAGAATGAGGAGGGAGGGAGTATTTTGTGATAACACTTCCTGATTGATATAGTTGATAGAGGAATCTTGTGTGTAAAACTACAGAATTAGTGCTGCCCCTTCATAACTAAAGTAGGTGAATCACTTGTTATAGAGAAACTAGCAGATTAGTTTTAACATAGGAACTCTGGTTGAAAGAAATGGCTTTTTTGAAAATGTAGATGGGAAAGTATTGATTTTTTTTACTGTTAAAATGTTTTCATTCCTTCTTGTTGGTTTATTTAATTTTATAGTGGAAAATTGTCAACTCGTTTTGCACCAATTATAACAGCTATGGTACAATTATGAAAGGTTATGAAGGACATCAAAAAGACCACTCTTGCCTCAGAAAGTTTCAAGAAATAGTTCTGTATGCTAGCCAAGTGAGAATTTAACATGAAAACTACATTTTTGATAGGCACATACAGTATTTAGGTGTGTTTTAGTTTCTCTATCTAGCTTAAGTCCATTTTCAGGTAATATATATCATTTTTAATTGAACCTAAATTCAGTTATAGTACAGTTCTGCACATGTCTGCAGTTGAAATAACTTTCATTGATGTAGCTTGACTATTTCATGATTTACTAAACCAGAGTTTAGCAGCGAGATCAACAAGACTATGCACTCTCTTTACTGTTTCCTGTTCTTATCTTTTGATTTAGCCAAATCACAGTTATTACATTTATGATGGGAACTACAGTATTTTGTTTATTGATGGTTATCTTAAGAAGCAGTTTTGAACTGGTTTAAGATCCTGGTTGATAAATGTCATTAGAATTCCTCATTTTGGATGCAACTACCAGCTGTGGTTTGATTAAACCAGGATGGGGAAAGGAGGGTGTGGTCCTGTTGCTCTTTCCTGGCTGTTAAACTGTGTTTTATTGAGCTGGGAACTGAGGGTCTGGACAAGGACACTTTGTTAAGGTGTGCTTACTTCTCAATAAGTGTGTTTTGAGCTAAATTCACCCCAAAATTGTTGGACAATTGTTAAGAGAACTTGGAGAATGGAATTGGAGAAGGTTTAGTTTGTGTTTGTGTAAATCGACATGCATGCTGGAAAAGGCACAGAGTATAAACCGGATGCATTAATACCAGCTATGATAACCCTGCAGATGCACTGAGTTTCCAGTTGGATTGTCATCAGACATGTTCAGAGCTGCCTAGTAGAGATTTTAAGTAATTTCCACCACAGTTTAGGTGGATATTCTACAAAGGGAGGATTCCCATTAGATGTTACATGGGAAGTAATTTTCTGTGTATTTATTCCATGTTGCTACTATTATATTGGAAAGGCCTCCCGACAGATAGATGTGGTAGATCATGTGGGTCCTGACATACAGTCATCACTCTTGATCCTTTCAGACCAACACCTTTGTGTGGTGAGAGACTATGTGATTCATCTCCCCCATGGTAACAACAGGTATTTAAAACTTTCCTGTGGGATGATTCATAAAATGGTACACCTGTGATAGTGCCATAGTGTATAAAGAGTTCCTAAGACATGGGTGCAGTGTTGTTAAAGATGGGTTAGATTTTTTTTAAAAAAAACTTATAAATCTGTACTGGAATGCACTGATTACCTTAGGAAGTGATAGAATTTCCAGAGCTGAGTAACAGTCTTCCACCAGTGCATTTGAAGAACAAAATCTGAGCAGGTTTTTTTTGGATGTAATTGTAGACTGCATCCACAACTTAGTATGAAAGAGTTTAAGCTGAGGCAAAACTCACCTGGCCAGAACCTTAGTGTCTTTGTTATGGTAGAGAATATGATCCAGTATGCACAGAATGCCTTCCTCTCGCTCCAGTGAATAACCCGTATCAGAAACTACATACTTGGAATTAATGTTATGAACCTACTTAGTATACCTTTCAGACAAGTTGACCTCTGGAAGCGTTCGTTTTAGAAATTAAATACTAAGGAGAAGTTAGCAAGGTACTTAAGTAACTATGGCATTAATGCCAGTTTTGGCTGTAATTTTTGCCATTCACTAGCCAGTTGTTTACCTTTTCCTGATTACTTATGATTACAATTTAAGAGTGATACAGTTAGTAGCAAATATAACACTGGAACTAGAGTATAAACTAAGAGTAAGCAGCCTGATGCCCCCTAGATGTTTTGGATTCTGAATTGCATGAGCCAGCATGACTGGCAATAAGGGTTTTTGAAGAAGTGGCTGTGTCAGTGTGTTTTTACACATATAAGGAGCAAGCAAAAGCCTTGTGGCATTTTAAAAATTAAGAATTTTGTTTCATTGTGAATTATAGTAGTTTGCAGTCAGTCATTAGGTTGCAAGCTAATTCTCTGTGTGCATGTGTGGCCTAACTGTTGTGCTCCATGTGTCTAAGAAAGTAGAAAGCTCACACTATACAGTGTGTGGGAACTGTAGGAGCTATGGTCCAAGATATTTGTAAGGCATTAGACTGCATACTCCTGCTCTAAAGGGATGCAATATTTCCTATTATTTCTGCTCGTCTTCCTTGGCTCAGCTTAATTGGAGAGAATATAGTCCAGCAATAAACTACTGTTTCATCCTCTTTGTGGTTTCAGTTTGTCCCATTAAAAATGTGAAGTGACCTTGTCTTTTAAAAATTTACTTGTAAAGCCTAGGTGGAGAAGAGCTTCATTTGTTCAGTATATAGGGTGCTTCTAGTGGCAGGTTCCATTTCTGCCAATGGAAGTGGGAAGGGCTGTCCTCCTCCTCTGCAGCCTCTCTGTGCCCTAAAAGTCTTCTCTGGGGGACTGCTCCTCTGGAGAGCAGGTTTTGGATACTCCAGAGAGCTTCTAGATGAAGGGGAAATGGAAGCAAACTCTAACACTACTATGAGCTTAGCATTGGATTTTAACCCACTGAAGCACACTTTAGAGCTCAGCATATTTTTAATCTACCTCTGTGTAAAGTGTGAGATGGATTGAAATGATCCTGCCCATTTATGTTGATGAATGGTTTCTTGCTCTGACTTCTGTCAGAGTTGTGAAAGTTTTATTTATACGAGGAAACTTGATATATACTGGAACACATTATATTTAAAAATATCTACCTGGAAGAATACAAGTTGGCTTTACAAACAGAAATCTTAACTCAAAATTCTATAGTTTCAGTCTGAAGTTCTAGAGCATTGATTTATAGCTCCCTGCCTTAACTGGAAAGTATGGACACTCAGAAAGGAGAAACAACACAAAACTCCAGTATTCCTTACATTTTATTTTGTAATCTAGAAGATGTTGCTTCCCGGAATCGGTAGTCCTGCCTCTTGAGTTAGATGGGTGGTAGGTATCCCATATAGCAAAATTCTTCTCTTTCACTTTTTAAAACATGAATTCACAGGTAAGACATTATCCATACACAAGAATTAGCATAAATGAAGTTTTTCTGGAGGGTTAAGTAATGTTCTGTCCTTGTCTAGGGACAGGTAATTACATATGTCACACAGAGCTGTTCTCTGCTTTATGAATCATTAAACTTATTTTGTAGGTTGAAAAACATTTGGTTTGAAGGTTGTACACACAACTGTTTTAAATAATTATAGAGGAATAAAATCAGACGATTGGTGAACAATATAAAGCAATCATTTTCCTCTGACAAATTTACTTTCAAGGAGATTTTGAGCTCATTAATATATTTTAAGACAACTGTATATAAAGGTGATTACTCAAGTTTACTGTGTTCTCACAGAGTTCTGTGGCTATGCCACTTGTCAGCAACCAAGGCATTCCCTTGGTTTCAGCAGTGAAGACACAGAGTTGTCCTTGACTTTTTAAGTAAGAGTCAGATGAGCTTCAAGCAAAGGCCTTTCTCAGTGAGCTATTAGTTTTGAGCTGCCTTAATGCACTTTGATCTAAGTGTTTTACTTTAGTTTGACTTGATGTTTAGAGAGGAAGATACCAGTTGGGAAGAAGCCTGTCAGTTTGTCGAGCGTCCCCATGACAGGTGCGGTACGGAGGAGCTTCTCTGGTGATGAAGAGTTGACTCCTCCTCAGTATCGAACCCTTCCAGCACAGACAGCCCCGGAGGCCTGCCAGCCTCCCAGGACTAGCAGAGAGTTCAGTCCCAGCCTCAAAACAGGTAATTGGTCATGTAAAAAATTCTTATTATGGAGGGCAAAGTTGACTGAGGACAAGCATGGTCAGGCATGAAACATGCTGACTCACTGCCGCCCTCACTTTCATTTAAAATAGACAAGAACATTCATCTTCTCTGATATTTGCATCAGCCCATAAGCTCATCTCATTGAATTAATCATAAATGTTGAGTCTCTTTTTTTTTATGCTTCTCAAAACTCAGCAGATTTCTTTCCTAATTAAAAAAAGAGGTGTTTTTAGTGAAGCAAAATGTATACAAACCAACAGATCCCATTAACATTGGTTTCTCCATTATAGTCCACATGTTGTATCCAAATATGGAATTTAATTATTATATTCTTCATTTCAGAAGAGAATCAGTTTTGGGAGATGTGTTCAATACTTACATAGAAGCTTAATATAAATTTATTTCCTTAAAAGCTTCAGGTTATTTTAATCTGTTAAACAAATGAGAAACACACTCATTTGCTCCCATATGTTCCTGTTGAAATGTCTATTATCACTCCAGTAATCATTCTGATGAACCATGCAGGAGAAAAACAGCAAAACAGTAGGGATTGAACCTCTCAAAAGTAATAGAAATTGTATAAACTGGGTAATTTAAACCTAAAAGAATGCGGCCCGTGAAACAGTGAATGTGGAAAATGTTTAGTGTATATAGATGTTTATCTTAAGGGCAACTATCCTATTATCCTGAATTACTTCAATATCTATTGTTTATATCGTCAGAGTAATGCAGAACTCCAGTTGTATGTGAAAAACCTCCCCATTTACTAAAAACTTAGCTGATCATTTTTTATGGAATGAGTAGCATTACATGAGCAGAGGATTTGAAGATTATTTTAAAATTCTTTGTCCCTTTGCCTGCTCAGATTTGTATAAAATTGTCTTACCATAGGGACCAATAAAGGTGATCTGTGGGAAAAGCAGTCTATAGGCTGGGTTTCAGCTTTAGAAAGCAGATGCAGATTTCCCTGCTGAATTCCAGTTCGTGCAAAACTCGCTAAACTGTGAAGTTCTTCCTGGATACCACCAGATTTCAATTTTGACATACAATTTCCAGAATCCATGGTGGATTCTGCCTTTTTCCTAGAGTTCCTTTGCAGGCTACATAGCTAGCCAGAGCTGGGCACAGCTATGTCACACATACAAAAGATGAGGTTGGTTTGCTCAAGTGCACTGTAGTCTCTGCAAAGGCTGCAGACTGCACAGCGTGTGTCAGGTTTTGCCTGCCACCCCCAAATACCCATTCAGGTAATACAGCAGGAAAGGTGTGAACTGTTGCATACAGCAAGGTTTGTGGCCTTCACCTCTTTGCAATGTGCAACTTTGGATTCTCCACAGCTGTTCTATAGCAAATTGTAGCAACCTTTGCTGGGGGAACAGGTTGTGGAAAATAGGAGATTTCATGGAAATCTATGCTCAGGTTGGGGAGTGTTTAATTTATTAATGGAATTATTTTCCATCCAGTCCCGACATTGACTGTCCTTATTTTTTAGCTGGAACTGTATATATTTTCTACAGTGGCTGATGATAAAAGAATCTAGCATGCAACTACAGGCTTTACCCCGTGAGCAGGAATTGACTGCCTTTCTTAGTAAAGTATACTTCACTTTCACAGTAAAGACTTATCCCCAGTTTAAAATGATAATTAGGATATGAAAACCAGTTCATTATACATCTCATATTTGTCATTCCAACATTACTAGAGGTGCACTGTTCAATAATATTCTTGTTGTTGTTGTTTAGTCGTTAAGTTGTGTCCGACTCTGTGTATTGACCACATCAATAATATTCTACCTTCTCTTTTAAAAGATAATCTTTTTTTTTTAGTGCTTTGTTTTTGTTTGTGTTTCAGATGTTAAGAAATGGTAAGATTGGTTCTATTTCAGCACTGCAGACATGAGGCTTTTAGATGACTTTTGTCGGGAGAATGTTCTCCTAGAGAACCTGCAATATTCCCAAACTCATCCATTTTCAGTGTATTTCTTGGTGGCTTGGTTGGGGAATAATGCTGTTTGCCTTGCACTGAATTTCCAGGTTAACACAGGTTGGAGGGGAAGAATGGCTGACTAGTCACTTCTTTCCACCTTCTAAGAATGTTTTCAATGTTCACTTAAATTGATTAAATCAGAGTTAAATAGTTTCTTGCATTGCACTGTATATGCAGAAGCCTTTCTGTGTGGTTCTTCAATATGTCTTTTTTCTTAATTATGGAGTAAACCTTTTCCATACCATAGGAATGTCACTGTTTGTAACTGGTTCTGAAATCCATTTTCAAGATGTACCTTTAAAAACAGTTTTAGTTTGTAGGTTTTAAGGAAATGCAAATTAGAGCTCCCAGAGTTAGGTGTGGTTAATTCTTGGCAAATTTTGCACATTGGAGTCCAAAAAACAATCTGAATGGCACATCCTCAGTGTGTACTTTAAAGAATAAGCTATTACTTTCTGGGAAGATGAAACCTAATTGGCATGCTAGTCATATGGCTTATTCTTCACCATTGTTGGAGCCTGAAGTCCAGCTGCTTCCAGTCTCAGATATGCATGGGGTAGAGTTCAGGCAGGTAAGATATCAAGCTTGCATTCTAGTTTCTTTTCTTTAAAAAAAAGTTCAGTAACTATTAGGTCTGGATTTTGTAAAATATGTATAGTTGTTGTGCCATGATTATTGTATCTCCTTTTAATACTTAAATTTTTTAAATTTTATTTAGCAGAGAAATGTGTGTCAGCAAGGAAGATGATATAGCACCATACTAGGAGCGAAGTGAAGTGGTCTGTATGGTTTAGTAAGGTTCCTAGTAGCAACAGTTTATACTCTGAGACATTACAACATACTGCTTTTAAAAGACATTGTCATAAACTTACTGGAATGTATAATACTGGAGCAAACCAAGAATCAACTGAACTTGTCATCAAACCTATAAGAAAAATAACAGTTACAGTACAACCTGCACTCCTTTTCTTTTCTCCCATCGTTGACGAATATTTTTATTAATCCTTCCAGTTATTTGATCATCAGTCATTTGGACTGCATTGCAACAGACTCTTTGTACCATTTTGCACTTCTTATTAAAAAATGTGAATATCTTGTTACTCAGGTCAACTTTTTTCATGCACCTGTCTCTGACAATGTTTTTATTTGATGAATGTTTTCCCATCAAGTAAAACACATCTTACAGCAGTTCTCAAAATAGGTGCATTGCAGTATACATTTGTTGATTCCAAGTATCATTTGTTACTTAGCAGTATGTACAATGGATGCTAAACAAGAGTGTATGTTCTTTGTGAGGTTTTGAAAGTAGAGCTGCTGGATAGCTCAATGGTATAGGCCTGTGCAGTCAGAGGTTGGGAGCTCAGTTTCCCACTGTGCCTCCTTGACAGGCTGGAATTGATGATCCATAGGGTCTCTTCCAGCTCTGCAGTTCTAAGATTATTATTATTATTACTACCTTATATGTGTCAAGTATCATTTGCTGTATATAGGTAACAGTTGTAGTCCACATCACTTTGATTCCTTGGGGCCAAATAATTATGTGAAAACCAGAATATGATATAAAGCTGAATACCCATGAATGCATTCAAAAATAGATAAACATTTTGCTGTGCTCCTAGAAGAAGCACAGTTGTGCATTTTAGTGCGTGTTTCTGGTAAATGGGTTTCATTCATTTCAAGCAGCCATGGAAAACACCTTTGGTCATGTCTTTGGATGGATTATTGCCTCTCCTTGATCTAGTTAAGGAGTTGCTGTCAGTTGATCTAAATGTCAAACTGCTATTAAGAAAAATGTGGTGTTGCATTCTGGCAGTGGAGGCTGGTAGCTCCAATGTGAATGATGCGGGGAATACTCTCCAGCCTTAATTTTAAAGGAGCTTTCTGAGGTGCTGAACCTGATTAGAGTACACGGTTCAACAGCTTGGATAGCTCCTTTAAAGTTTTGACTAAAGCCCAGAGTGGATACATTGCCTCACTGACAATGAAGTCACAGATCTCTATTGCCTTATAGATAAAAGACATCCGGAGCAACCTTTCTTTAAATATTCACAATTTATTTTAATCCTGCACTTACAAAACTAGCAGACTAGGAGAAGTTAGAGTAGAACCAGTGAGTTGGATTTGGTTTAGAATTCGGTGAACCTTTGCTGACGCTGGAGGATGGGAACACAATGAAGGTTTCTTTCAATTCCTTTTTCCATCTGCAACCTACCCATAATCTCCCCTACTATTCTGAGGGTACTTCTGCCTCTTCGATTGTGAAAAGTCTCCTGGGTGAGAATGAATTAATCTGGGTTAGAATTTAAAGAAACACACACACCCATTATAACCAAGCAGGTGTAGAATCATAGCTCTCCATCTGCATCATTTTACTGTACTGAGCCCTCTGACTGCAAAAGTGATCCCATGCCTAGAGCTATACCTGTAACCCTTGTTTAAGTGGATCTGTGTGTACATCAACCCAAGAAATGATTTCTGCTATTAAAACTGAACACCTGTCTGGTGAGATACTATTCCATGTGTAGTCTGGAAGTTGAGTTATGGTACCTGCACTTCTTATTAGGTTGAAACTTCGCTACTCATCCAGGTAACTTATTCCATCTGAGGAGAGTTGGTAGGAGACCCCTGATATATCCTCCATGTTGGTTTCACTTAAGAAAGGAATTAAGAAACCTCAGGACGCAAACCAGTCATTATGACAGAAGGTTTGGGAAACAAAATACGGAAGCCTGAAGAACACGGGATTGTTTAACCTACAGAGAATTAGTTATCAGAAACAATGCTGTTTTTCAAATCCATAGAAGGCTATAAATAAGAGACAGTTGTGACCAGGTGCTGGACCAGATGCCAAAGGATTACTTCGAGATGAAAGATTTTGGTTGGTTGGTTGAAGTTACGGAAAGTAGTCATGAGAATAACCCAGCCAGTCTGTGTAACAGTCCCATGAAGTTTGGCGCTGTCTTCTAGGCCTAGGTGTCATTGAGGTAGCATATCTGCACTTTCATAGATCCTCCGCCCCTTTACAGAGAAAAACTAGGAGTCAGCAGAAAGCACTAGCTAGCCTCTCCCTGATGTGCTAGTCTGCATGCAAGGACTCCTCCTTTAGAACAAGGAAAGCTTTTGCTGTTAAAGAAATGTAAATAATGCAATTATTCCTGAATAGTTTCACACATGCATTCTTCCAGCCTTTGAATTACACACATTGCAACAGTCCTGGCATAATATTCGTAAAACCCTAATACTATGTGACTGTCTTGAAAGTTGACTTGCTTGCTGTCTACCTCAAGGGACATTTGTCTGCAATTCCTATGATTTTTGTACAGCCAGATGAACTGTGTTGTATGCATAAAGCAGGTGAAAGGCTGGAGGTTAGTATATAAGAAAAGGAAAACTTCCGTAAGGTGGAGAGAGTACCATTAAAATATTTTTTGTTTCTTTAGAAATATGTTTACCATTTTGCAAGTTTATGGAGGTTTGCTTAAAACTGCAAACCAAAATTCTTTACCTGAGTATAAATACCATTGAAATCAGTAGGATTTGCATTTTAATAAATGCACTATAAAATGTAAAGTCAACCAAGTTTTTTAAAGTTCCTGAGTGATAATCCCTGTAGAACCTCTAAAGTATCCACACACATACTTTTCTCTTTTGCCCCCCCCTTTTGACCCCAGATCATATTTTCAGTATCATCTCGTTAGTTTAGTGCTTTTCAGTATACAGTATGTACTTAATCTGCATTTTAAGTTCCTGGTGCTAAATTTGGACCATGCTCATTGTGTACTTACAGAAGTAAGAACAAAAGTTGGAGCTTTTGTGAAAGTTCCATTATGTTAACTGAAAGAATATGCATGCTCTCTGTTAACTTCAAACATGCACCAACAGTCTTTTTTTTAAACCTCCTTTTTCACTGTTTAGTATCTTCACTGCAGCTGAAGGAAGAGTTGCTAGATGGAGAAGAATACAGCTTTCTTCAAGGAGCATCCGATCAGGAAAGCAATGGGTCAGCCAGCCACTACATCAAACAAGAACCTTAAGGGTGCCAGTTGGGCAGGATGGTGTAGAAGAAGCCTTTCTTCAAGACTGACGTTCACATTCTGATGATACAGTTTGATGGCTTCCACTAAGGGCACTTTGCTAACTGCAGATAAGATTTCAATTCAGAAATTTTGGAGGATGAGGAAAATATTTTAGTGAAAAAAAGATTTTTCAATGTATTAAAAAAAGTTGACACTTATGTGTTGTATTTGAAACTTTTAAAAAGAATTTTTGTAATATTTTCGAGTTCAGATTTATTGTGCATTGTTAAAAAAATGAGATTCTAATTTTTTGGTAAGAATTAAAAGCTTAATTATAGCAGGATTGCAGGAAACCCTTTGAGGAAATTGAGATGGTAGTATAGGCGAAAAAACAAAAGAACTGTTTCTGGTAGGTGAACCTTCTGGTACAAGCTGGGAGATTCTGAATTTTAAAGCTACACTAGTCATAACCTGTCCTTTTCACAGTTGAAATCAATGAGGCTCAAGTTTCAGGGTGGTGAAAACGTACTGAAATACTTTGAAAGAATGGAGTTTTAAAAAGGATTTCTCCTGGAAGTGACAATGTAGCCAATGAGAGCCTGCTTACTATTCTGGAGAATTAAGCTCTGTCCAATCTTTCTTGAGATTGTTTGTTGGACAAGATACAGGTGACTGTGGTTTTCCTGTTCACATTTTGAAATCTTGAGATATTTTGCAAGCAATCAGCAAAGTTTCAGCTGGAGAGGATATACAATGGACATGAATTCGAGGCTTTTTTCTTGTGCAATGAAAGGAAGAAAGACCCAGAAGGCCCTTCTGTACTAACACATCAATAGGCTTGATTTCTATCCTGGTCAAAGACACATCTGCTGGAAAGGTATGGGCAGAGGAGGAAGACCGAAGTCTGCTGGACACAGCATTTTGCTTCACCTATCTGTCTGGAATTGCCTTTTGCTTGTTATGAATCGCGCCGACTTGCCTAAAGATGGATTGATCCCTGCTGTAGGCATTGTATTTTCTGCAACTTGGCTGCTTAAGGCATTTTTGTGCAAAATGTTTCCAAGAACTTGCAATGGTTGGTGTGGCAGGGATGCTGACTTGCCTGGAATCTTTTCCTGAAGATTTATACCTATACAGTATAGATATTAGCAGATTGCTCCAGTCACAGAACTGAACATGCTGACGTGTTTCACTCTGCAGTGTTGTGACAGGATGATATGTGTCAAGAATTTTGCTTTTACCAGTAAGGTTCATTAACTAAACTCTCAGGAATTAACTACTTATGTTCTGTATCTGCTTCTGGGTCATAGCAAGTCCTCTTTAGAGCAGTGTGACTGGCAGCTGCTTGACTCTCTAAGGTAGGATTTAGAAGAATTTAATCTTATAGACTAACCTCTACACATTTTAAACCTAATGCTTTACAACTAGCAACTCTCAAAACCCCAGAGATAATTTTTTTGGCATATAAATGTTTTGAATTTTTAAAAATGCATAGAAAGTTGAAAACCAGCAATTTTGATTCTTTTCTTAATTATCTTGCTCTGTTGTTGGGTACATACCATTGGTGATATGCAAAGGTTTACCACATTCTATGCAAGAGGGGATAATGATGTAAAATTTTGTAGTAACTACTGGAAGTACATTTTTTCTGTATAGTATAGGAATGTATGGGAACTATTTCTAGTCTTTTTCTCCCTCCCCATAATGGGCCATTTTTGACAAAGTGCTTCATGTATACATATTTTAGAAACTGAGTACCAGGTGTCAAATACTTCTAAACCTAGGTGGCAGTTACTTATGTCATGTTTCTAAAAGGCTTTTATTCATGGTTCACACAACTGTGGCAGAAATGGGAGCTTGATGGGTGTATCTTTTTCCCCCCTCCCTGCACCACACACGCTGCATTGCAGCTGTTGTTTTTAATCTTACTTAGTTTAGAAAACAGCTTTGAATGCTGCACAAGAGGGCTGCTTTGTGGAGAGAGCAGCAAACAGTTGTAGAATGTGTGCTTGTGTAGTACAAGGGACACATATGTCTAAATGTTGCACAGCTTCACAGGATCACATCCAGTGGCCAAAATTCTGTTGCTTTGTGTAGTAATTTGCAATAGCGTAGGCCCACTGACTCAGAGGGATTTGGTGAACCAACACATCTGTAAGTTCCATTGATTCAAATGAGCCTGTTCTAACTGTAAGTTATTTTAGCATAGTAATTCACAGTTAGAATAGGCCAGTTGAATCAGTGGAAATTAGGGAAGTGTCGATTCACTAAATCCCCATTAATTCAGTTGGCCTATTTACTACACTATGCAACAGGATTTTGGCCAATACATAAAAAATTATAATCAGCAGTGCCCTGAGATCTTTTCATTGCCTTCCTCCCTTCTTTTTCTAGAAGTTTCATTGTAGAATGATATTATTTTTAAGTCAATACCTCCAAAAACAAAGACAGCTATCATCACACCACCCCAATTTGGGACAGAATGAGCTAAAAGGCAAAGTGAGACTCCAGCAGCTGACACATAATAGTGATCCAGCATTCTTCACATCTTAAGGTGGAATACCATCAGCCTTGATCATGTATAATAACTGTGATAAACTCTGTGTAGGGTGAGCAGCTTTTATCACCTTTATTAATGTGCAAGGGCTGGCATGTAGTTACCTCTATTTTCATAACATTGGAGAACTTAGGAGCAGCAACTGCAGAAGTATTTATTTTGATTTTAGTAGGGACCATCTGCACTATGTAGTTCTTCCCAACATGAAAAACAGAGCAAGGCTTTCTGCCATGGTAGTGAGAGAGAGAACAGCATGGTAAGTTGGACTTATATGTAAATTTATTCTTGTATATTTATAAAACCCAGCCTTGCACTTCAACAAACAGCATACTTTCTAGGTGGGGTTGCTCTTTTTTTTCCAGACAGAAGCTATATTTAAGATTCTATGTGATGGGCAGAAATTCAGAATGTTCAAACTTTCCTCCTCATTGCACATTTTAAGGCTGGAAAATGTGAGTGGCTGAATTTTTGCCAGATATAGGCCTAAAACTTTTGTTGGGATCAAATGTAGCAGCCCCACTTCTACCTCTGTTGATTATGGCAGCTCTTGGAAAATCCATAGCCACACTTAATCCATACCAATATCATCTTAGGAAGTGAACATAAACCAGTCTCAAAGTATCTTGCTGGACCTTTTTGAACCTGGAATCATGCTGCAAGGTGATAATCTTGATTAGTGCTACGTTGCTAGTCCTCAGCTTTTTGGAGGCATATCCACATATTTCTTTCAAATTGGTAGCACTGCCAGTCTCTCTATATATGACAGAAAACTGAGATATAGGAACTTGCTTGTGTTTTTAAAATTGCTTTGAATGTAAATGCCATGAAGCATTCTCCGATGAGCCCTCACTCCCAATTAGTTGCCTAGGTGTCATTTCTGTTCTCTTGACGGTTTTGAGCAACATTTTTGTGGCCTCCGTAGCACAGCAGACAACTGAGTGACAGTGGGCTTTTTAAGTACAGGTTTAATTGTTTTGGTATGCATGCATTTTTGTATCATTTACTCAAAGAACATTCTCTTTTTATTTTACTGTGAACAAATTAACATAAATCAGGAAGGTGTCCGGGTGGGGTGGGATGTTAGTCAGGGGTTTGAGGCCAGTACTGATGTGAACAGTCATCTAATTCAGTATTTGGCACAAGGCAGGGTTGTTGATTTTATTTTATTTTTTAAGAAGAAGGCACCATGGACAAGGTAAGCTACATTGTAAGTGCTTCTTTTTACAGCTCAGAATTTTGCAGCTGTCACTTTTTCATGTTCTGAATTTCCTTGCTGAATCTGAGGGGGGGGGAAGTTATCAACTTGTCTCTTGATACTAACACGGGTTTCAGTGTTTGTTTGTTTTTATTGTTGTCATTTTTATGTGATGTGAACACCTTCTCCCATCAATATTTGTATTATGGTGCTAAATATATTTGGTAACAGTCCTTTATTGAAAAGGGATTAAAACTGTGATTAAATTGATTTTTTTTCTTTTTAATTTTCATATTTAAGTAAGGCCTCAGCCATTTCTTTAAAAAAAGTGGGGAAAAAGCATCAACCTTCTGCCTGGGGAAACTATTTCATAGCAGAGGTTTATTAAAAAAAATTGAATAGGGTTTTTACATCATTTCTGTATTTGATATTTAGCTCAATATCTGTATAAATTCAATCTTTTATTTTCTTGGTAAATTGTGTGGTCAAATGGGAGCATTTTAAAACCTCTAATGAAATGTACATAAATCAGTGAATAATGCTTTTGAAGAAATTAATGCTACTTTCATTTTTTACCAGACTGCGGTTTTTCAAGCATGGATGTGAAAAAAGCATTAAAATTATAACTTTGTGTACAAGATGAAAATAATTCACTAAATTTGCCTTTTTTTTACACAAAATAAAATGTTAATGTAATACCAGCTGGGTGAACCTCTTTTAATTTGCTTTTTTAAAAAACCTGGCTTTCATCCAAAGGTTTCTGTCTCACTTTAATAAGCCATGCTGAGTGTTTCAACTACTACATCAACTACTACAGCAGTTTTTTCCTCAAAAAGCAGGATCATGTCAACAGAACTCAAAACAGATTTTAATCTTATCACGGGGCAAACCTTTTCTCTTACCTCCAAATTTGAAAGTCTATTAACTAATCTCATGTTGTGTCTAGGTTCATCCGCTGTTTGAGCACTCTTATCACTGCTTCAAATAATCTCTATTCAGGATATGAAGCCATCAGATTATTTACAGGGGTCAATGTTTTGTTCTTATTGGGTACACCAGATGTTCTCACTGGACTAACTCCTGCTAAGTGAAAATAAAGCACAATACACCCCTTTGAAAGGACAGTTTTTATCGACAAAATGAATTAGGTAGCAGTAATAAGTTGTGTAAAATACTTAATATTCAATTATGTAGCCTTCAGCAATAAGCCGACCTGTTATCTACCATATCGGCCTTTTGGGTGATGCTGTGGACACATCTGGAATTAAGAGAGCTCTGTGTACTCCAACAAAATAGTTGCTGTGAGGCACAGAACCACACACAGAAGCTGCTATGTACTATTTCAGATTACAAAATAGCATGGTAAAAAGATCTAATACACGAGACTCCTTTAAAAAAAAACAATTGTGAAGGAGCAGTAGGTCCCAAGGAGGAAGAGCAGAGTGAGCCGTCCCCTCAGCTAGAGATGTCGGAGCAGGAAAAAGTTATAGAAGTAGGGAAGGCAAAAGAAAATTAGGAGTTGAAAATAATGGAAGAAAGAGGGATCAAAGGAGAAAGAGTAGAAGATTGAAATATGTCTAATGGAAGAGAGAGAGGGGGAAGGAGTTAATTCTACCTGTATGGGAGGAGGAGATAGAGGGAAAAAGTGGGAGGAGACAATTCAATATAAGGGAGAGAGAGGGGAAGAGAGGAGAAGAAAATTATGAGAACGTTGTTAGAGGACTTTCTGAATTAGAAGGTAGGAGGGTTGCTACCTGATCTGGAAAAATCTAAAGACCTCAGTTGAAGCCCTAGAACGGACTGTCATGGTTTTCCCACGAGGACAGGGTCACTCAAGGAAGGTGATTCGACCAGACCCATCCTTCAACCATCCATCCCTGGGGGGGGGGGGAGGTTGGGCCGGACACCCATGTTGTGGGACAATATGTGCGGTCTGGAGTGCTCCATTGAGGAAGCCCACAGATCGGGAATGTTTTGGTCCAGCCCCTCAATGAATCTTGTTAATCTAGTTATAGTCTGTCCAAATCGAAGTTACCAGATCTGAGTTGTTTTGAATTGTTAGAAGTAGTAGAATCACAAAATGTCAAACTGAATAAATGTGTTAATGTTCAAAAAGAGACTCAGTCATCATTTCCTGCTAAAAAAGAGGAACTGCTCCAGACTTTTAATGAACCAAATCACAACTATCAACTGTTACTTCAAAACCATTCAACTTGGTATTAACATCTTAAAACAGTTCAGCTTTCTCGTTCCTCTCCTGAGGCAAGAAAGGGATTTGTACTTAGTTTCAGAAACAGCTTCCCCAAGTTTTGGGTTATCGCCTGTTTGGGTTTTACCACTTCATCCTAGTCCCCAGACAATGGTAGTTGCAATAAGGGCAGTTTGTTGTCTCCCCACCACGGCTGTTCATTCCTTGGATGTGACTCCCACCATCTTGTTGGCAAATAATCCGTTGGGCAAGGGGTTTATCCATGCCGCTCTAACATTCCTCTGTGCTTCTTACCCTCCTGTTGCACCCTCTCTTCTCTCACTCCCCTCATTACGAAGGTTTTCTAGGTTTCCTTCTCCACTCTGCTTCCTCTGTTGTTAACATCTTCCACTCATGATAGATTTAATTTTTTCAATTTAATTTTTTCCTTTATAGAAATACTTTTTAATAGTTCCTATAGACTAGTTGCCTTGTATTTTTTGTTATCTAAATCCCCATGTATTTGAAACTTCAATAACACAGGTCTAAACCTGTTCTTTTATTGATTTCTTTTTGTTCCAGCGTGGGAATATTCATACATAGCAATTTAGATTTATCATAATAAAATTTTAAACCTGTATATTTGAATTTTTCCAATATTTGTTTCAATGTTTCTATATTTTCAATCGGGGACTCTAGGAATAAAAGTATATAGTTAGCATATAAATAAATTTTGTTTATTTCTAACCATTATTCCCCTAATATTAATATATTTTCAATAATTGCCATGAGTGCCTCTATAGCCAATGCAAATATTGATGGGGACAGGGGTCTCCTTGTCTTGTTCCTCTGTATACCGTAATTCAAATTTTTCAGATTCAATTCCATTTATTAATATTGAAGCCCTAGTATTTTTTTCTGATGCAATGTGTATACAGTTTCCCCGAGAATAAGATCTAACCTGAAAATAAGCCCTAGTATGATTTTTAGGATGCTTGTAATATAAGCCCTACCCCAAAAATAAGCCCTAGTTAAGTGAAACCCCGCCCTCCACCACTGTGCAGCACTGTGCAGCACCCAGATGATATGACTGTAAAATAAAACATCTCCTGAAAATAAGCCCTAATGAATTTTTTGGAGCAAAAATGAATATAAGAACCTGTCTTATTTTCGGGGAAACATGGTAGTATTTAATCTCTTGCAAGGTGCATCTGGCATTTGTCTCCCTGGCATATCCCCTATCCAATATTGAGACAATCGGAAGATCTATGGAAAATGTGCTGTTCCACCATACTCATGTTTCTGTGTTAAGGGTGGCGAGTCACATCAACATACTTGAGCATTCCTCTTTAGCCAAACTCAAACTATAGGTTTAGAGCCCCAAAATTGAAGCCTTCCCATGGTGTAGAAAACCGCTATTTTCCAGAATTCTTTCTGAAAAAGGAAGGTCCACCTAGCTTCCATTTAAAATAGAAAACTCCTAGTAAACACTGACTAGGGTAAGAATAGGACACTTGGGTGGAGATAGGCGTAGTTAGGCCTCAAAATCTTCCAATTAAGGTCTTTCTCTCAGGTGAGCCATATTTTGGTGTCTGTCAGGTAGAAGTTCCATAATGGAGAATTGTGGGATTTGTTCCAGTTTTAATTTCTCTATCCCTTGAATCATCAAGGTACTCAAACAGATGACCATTCAGGTCTGTGTCATTGCGGGTAAAATCCTAACTGGGGGGGCAGGCAACTGAGTTTTTGCAAAATGGAACTTATATTTGCCAAACAACTTCACCGCCAATTCTAGTAATTATGTAACAAAACTGGTCACACACATTGTTTTTATTTTAAAGAAACAGCAGCACATTCATTTATGATGATTTATTAGTGCCAGTAATCACACGATAATCATGATAACTGTCCCTTACTAATAAGAAGGTGGAATGAGACACTTCGTTGGAAGAAGGCACAACTTCTTGAGAAGTTTAATTCATTCATAAATCCAATCATGAGCACAAGATTTGAAGTCCACAAGTTCTGAAGGCTTGAACCACAGGTTGATCTCTTTCTGAGCACTCTCCACAGAGTCACTGCCATGAATGATGTTCCTTCAGAAAAGACAAGAATACAATTACAAGGTTTTTACAGAGTGAAGTTACTTTTTGAGGTAAAAGTCTCACAACTGGACTATGCACAACTAACCCTACTGCACCAGAATTTACAGGTTTTCACAAGTTTAATCACGACCTAATGAATTCTCAATTACGCAAATGTATGGTGAACATATCACCTTCAACTAATTAAGGATTGCTGAATTGTCATAGTAGCATAGCTGTTTATATTGCCATTCACACAGAATAGCTACCATCAACACCTGAAAGAAAATGAACAGTTGTAAACATTTTGACCAAAGCAGCCCTGAACACACATTTTGACCCACCCTGTACCCATTATGCTACAACACTGCTTTGGACATTCCTCTTGAATAGGCATGTTTATAGCCTTATACCACTCCTCCTAGCTAGAGGGAAGCTTCTGTCCTACACACTTTAAAGATAACAGAGTTTCATTTGCAGCTTGCAAATTACATGGAGACATGAAAAGGTAAATTTCCAGCACCAACCTTCCCACTTGAATGCAGAAATCACCACGGATAGTGCCAGGTTTTGAATCTGCCGGGTTAGTTTCACCCAACATTATTCTGCCTGTCTTCACAACGTTCAGTCCTTCCCAAACCTGCAAAAATACATGTCAGCTCACATTAGTTTATCAGAGGAAAGGGGAATGGCTGTTATCACAGAATATGTTCAAGAAATTAAATCCACTATCCTAGTAAAACTTAAATAATCAACACTTAGCTTCTCTAAGTTATTTCAAACAATCAATAAATTTATAGTCATATAACTTGCTCTAAGTTACGTATCCTATTGAATAAAAATTGTTATCAGTAGAATCAGCACACAATAACTATTGTACATCAAATAAAACTCCAGCCTACACAGTATGTCCAAACATAAACGGAATATAGTTGCCACCTTCATCATTATCATATTTCTATCCCACTGTTCAATTAAAAAAATAGCTCAACATGGCTAGCAAGCACCGTAAAAAAGATGAAAAAGAACATATTAAACATTAGAATTACAGAACAGAATCTTGTTCAGAGAAACTAGAGACAGAAAGGTAAATACACAGCTGTTTCACCCCTTTGTCAGAGTGTCCGGAGCAAAATCAGTCAAACTGGTCACATGACTGATTTCAAAACCTGCTATGCAACAGGAATCTAATCAATTGTACGTGGTTTTTGCCAATCAAAGCAATTTTTTAAAAATTGCAAGAGTCACCAAAAGAATGAGCAACAGAAAATAAGGTACAGAGATAAATTAGAAGCTGGTGTAAGCGACCTGACATCCTTACATACTTTGGACTACAATTCCCATAATCCTGCTCATTGACTATGCAGGTTAGGATTTACAGGAGCTGCATTGTCTGGAAGGCAGCCGACTACCTGGCTCTGAGGAAGAAGAAGTAAGGAAATGATTGACAAGCTTCTTGGAGTTTAGAGGCACTTAACTAAGAGAGGATTGCATGGAGATATTTTGGACACCAGTTCCAAGTTGAGGGAAAGTAAAGGAGAAAGTTGTTTAAGAGTGCCAGAGCTGAGGACAGTGGATCAGAATGAGTGAAAGAGACAGGAAGTAATCTGTTGTACTCAGAAATAAGGAGAGACAAGATTGTACTTCAGATTTATGGAGTGGAGTCACACAGAGCAAGAGGGAATAATTTTGGCAGCAAGAGTACCATAGCAATTCAAGTGGATGAAGGAAAATCAAGGAAAGCCCATAGAGCAGAGGACTGCAGTAGTTAAGAACAGGGAAAGCGATGCCTAGAACATGGCCGAGTTTCTGCTCAAAGGACAAAGAATTATGAACTATGACAAAAAGTTGTGCACAGTCTTTTAAAAGCCAATTGCACAAAGGGATGTTTCCTATCCACTTGTGCACACATAAGCCCAGTTGCTTTTTATGGAACAATCTCCAGTTTGTGTAACTTGCAAGCCCAAGATTGCTGGTGCAATTTGTGGAGTGTTCTTCCCATAGAGCAATTACAGTTCACAACTGCTAACAGGAGTCTGACTACTGACAGGAAAATAGAGATGTGAAAAGACTCTTTTTAAAACTATTTTTAATGACATCAAACCTTTTAAAGCCAAGATCTAGCTACCACGAACTAATGAAAGGGACATTTCTTGATAGAAAATCACCCACTGAAAACATTTCATTCACAGCAGACCACGAAAGATACAGCCCTACAAGTAGCTCTCACTCCAAGACACTGCCATGTATGTCAGCAAGTACCACACATTTGGTATCAGTCGGAAGGAGGCAATCTGAACATATGTACCCCTCCCTTCATAGGGAGGATGGTTTCCATCTCTACTGAAGAAGCCAAACAGAGGTAACTGAAGTCCCACTTCTCATTAGCGGTGAATGTTCTTGGCGGATGTTTTAGCCTGTATGCTCTTGCTACCATCTATCCCATAAAGGTCTAGATTTGTTCATTCATGGATCTGGAACTCTTGGGAACCCAATTCTAAAACAGTGCTATAGAGGAAGAAGTAACACATGCATGCTCATTGAGACTTTAAAAGCCATTAGAGACTACTGACTTGGCTTATAATTTCAGATATTAACATGTCAGAATCTGTTAAGAACAAGACATTATTTAAGATGTTTTCCACAAAGCTGAAGCTTACTGAAACAGGATCTCAGATTTCTATAAGGCCCCAATCTTTCAAGGTATTGCCACAGTACAGCTCAGGGGCAAGCAAAGCGTGAGCTTCCAGATGTTATTGGGACAGGGAGCACTCAGCCATCCTTCAAAATTGGATATGCTACCTAGGACTGCTAGGAGTTTCAATGCAATAACATATATAGGGCCATAAATGATCCACCCCTAGGAAGGAAGTCACAGCAGTTCATTTCTTTAAAGAAACTTTAAAAAAATACCCTGTGTCTTTCCTTCTTTGTTTTACAAATTTTAAAATGGTCCTTTGTCTGGGCATCATCTCTTCCCCATAGTCGTTCAATTTGAAATGATGATTAGCTCTAACCCTGTTCATTGGGAAGTCCTGTTGGCTAACTAACATCCCACAGACAACAGGCTATGCAACGCTGAGAATTTTATGTGAGATGTGCATAGTGAATGAAGGTATAACTGATGAACATTACAAAACAGGCAAAAACCCACTATTTTATGGTTAGAAAAATATTGGCACATCGAATTGATAGTAAGAATGTGTTTCTATCATGACAAGGAACTAAGAAGGCTTTTAGAAACAATTAAGAAGAAGAATGGACAGCTCACAAAAAGGTGGATTTCATTTAAATTTTTAAAAAAATATTTAAAATTTTCTAAAAAATTAAATTTAAATCAATGATTTTTAAAAAAATATCATTTATTTGTATCCATCCTCTGACATCCAGCCAATAACAATCTTTTAGCATGTACGTACAAATAATTACCTTCTGAGCAAATGCACTACAGTGGTGCCTCGCAAGATGAGCACTTCGTTTTACGACAAAATCGCATAACGACGAAGTTTTTGCGATAGCAAAACGATGTTTCCTATGTGGTTTTTTCACTTTGTGATGATCGGTTCCCTGCTTCACTAACCGATTATCGCAAAACGATGATTTTAGAACAGCTGATCGGTGGTTTCAAAATGGCTGCCGGGTAAAAAAAATGGCCGCTCGCTGTTTTCTGGGACGGATTCCATGCTGCACGGGCAGCGAAAAAGGCCACGCTATGGAGGATCTTCGCTGGACGGTGAGTTTCAAGCCTATAGGAATGCATTAATCAGGTTTTAATGCGTTTCTATGGGCTTTTTAAAATCGCTTTACAATGTTTTCATTCTACAGCGATTTCACTGGAACGAATTAACATCGTAATGCGAGGCACCACTGTACAGCCATATCCTCCTCATTGGACAAAATCCCATGGTGTAAATGTACACCAACAGGACTTTGCTCAATATATTATAAAGTTAAAGTCAATACTACACACATTAGCACCATTTAAAGCAGGTTTTGGTCATAAATTTCTTTGTAGCTTCAGATGTCATATACCTCTACAAAATTTAAGTATTTCTGGAAAAAGTTGCAAACAAAAGTGAAAAGGAGCACAACAACTATTTCCTGCTTTGCTCACTGAACAAGAAGGAAGAAATGCAAAATGACTCTGCTATACTTATTTTCCACTTCTCCAATACTAGAGGGTTGTTAGGTGAGAGACAAAAGGGATACATATGTTCATGTTTCAAAAGATAAAATGTTTTTGGTTTTTTAAAAGGTGCTTTAAAGTGTTTTTACTGTTTTAATATTATATATTCAATTTTAAAAATAGTTTTGGCTGGTTGTTTTAATAATTTGTAAGCCGCCTCAGGTCCCTTTACTGAGAGAAAGGCAGCATAACAAAGCAATTAAAAATAAATCAATATTTCTCACATAATTAGCAGCCTGTCTGTCTCATCTATCCCATAAAGGTCTAGATTTGTTATGGGCTGATGGGAGTGCAGTCCAGCAACATTTGAAGGGCTAAATGTTCAATATTTTTCTTCTAAAGGGATTAAATTATACAATTCCCTTATTGCATGAATGCAAGCTCAGAAATGGATACTCACCATAGCTACAATTGGCCCAGAATTCATATATTTAACCAAACCAGGGTAGAACGGCCTGTCTTTCAAGTCAATGTAATGTTGCTTGAGAAGTTCTTCAGAAGCCTTTAGGAAGAAAATGGTACAGAACTGGATTAACTCTTCATTCTTAGCCAACCTTGTACTAAGCCCTTCCACTACCACTAAAACCGTACAGTCACAAAGAAAAAGAACAAAGCACACATAATTATACTGAAAAGTTCAGCTGTGGAAAAAAACTAACCAATGGCAGTTTACATTCAGGCAGCCAATTTCAACAATTAGCAAAGCTACTGTTTTACGTTATCTTACCAGCATAACCATTTACTCAAAATCATATACACTCCTCTGTACTGAGTTACACAAGTAGCTTAACAGAATCTTCTGAACCTGAGGAAATGGGAGACTCCCAGGATGAGCAGCCTGAAGACAAATGCTGTCTATGTTAAACTGTGAAAGGCATCCTCTTTTTTGACACTAGAGCAGTGGTCTCCAACCTTTTTAATGCCAGCAACTGGTTTTGCTGAAAACCATTCTCCCAAGAACCGGGGTGTGTGTCCTTTTGTCCGTGCGTGGGGTATGTGCGGCCCAGAGTGCGCGTGCATATGCATGTACGCATGAACGTGCATGTTCCTTCAGCCCTCAAATATCTGTCTCAGCAGCCCAGTCGTTCAAAGGCCAAGGATCTGTACCGGTCCGCAGCCCAAGGGTTGGGGACCCCTGCACTAGAGCAAAAACTGTGGTGGAATTTGTTTCTTGTTCTCTGCCTTGTAGCATGACTCCACTGATAAGATCCCTCATATTGCTCCCCACATACTGCATGCCCAGCCCTATTTTAAACAAAGCAATACATTTCTGCACATGCTAATTAGTCTTTTACTGCACTGTTACAAGCAAAGAGGAAACTTACATTTAAAAATTTCATAGCCACCAGACGAAAACCCTTCTGCTCAAATCGCTTGATGATTTCACCTATTAATCCCCGATGGACTCCATCAGGCTTGATGGCAATAAATGTGCGCTCTGTATTGGAAGCCATTATTCCACTGCAAGAGAAATGAAAGGAGAAACTAGTGGATGCCAGCAGCCAACAAATCCAGCACTGTCACTGAATCTGCCATTGTGAGGGCTTCCTCTTTTCATACTGTCTTCAACTTTTGCCATCATCATTGTTCTCTTCCAGTGAGATTTGCCGTCTCAGGATGCTCAAAAAGGACAAAAGTCTCAGCTTTGTAATTTTATCTCCTAAAGTGATTTCAGACTTCAGTTGCTCTTTCTTGCAGTCCTTGGCATCTGTAAAACTCTCCTCCAACACAACTTAAAATTTAAACAAATCATTATTATTGTTTAACCTGTAACTAAAATCAAACTTGCCGTGGGATGCAAATTAGTTACGTATTTGATTTGATTACCGCTGGAGAAAGTAATCAGGTTCCTTTGCTGTCTGTGAAATTTAACTGACTCCTAATGGGTATTTCTTCATTTTGGTATACTGAGAGATGCAAGGGTGCCTACCCACACCACTGTGCAGATTTGAGTCGCTTGGGCCTGATCCGGCACACTGCAGCAGTTGCGGCTGCCTCTACTCCGCCTGGCTGGGGCGAGACTAGAGAGATGGAGATGGTGGGGAGCAAAGGCTTTAGCACCTGGAGGGGAACCATTGCCAGCCCGCATAGGGCGCTGGGGTGGAAGGGTGGGGGCAAGGCGGGTGAAGGTTGCCATGGGCCACCCAGAGCTCTCCGCCCCAATTGCCGTGGGGGGGGGCAGCGGCCTTCACAGGAAAAGGGGTTTCCGCGCCCCTCTTTTAGGGGGCGAGCACCTTTCAGGCAGCCGCGACTGGTGTCGTCCCGCCGCCAACGCCTGCCTCCCTCCCTCCCTCGCCCGCCCACTGTCCCACGTTGTCCTGCGGCGCCTTTCGCTCTCGTTTCCCCGAATGGCCGCTCCCTCGGGTGGCGGGTCTGTGGGGAATCGCCTCCGCTCCTCTTTCCCCCTCCTCCCAATTGCGGCTCCATCCCCCTTTTTTCGCGAGAGTCAACCTCGCTCTTCCTTTCCGAGTCCCTTCGTGGCAGGCACGCTGAAGGCCAGCCTTCTCAAGGCGCCATTTCTGCCTCCAGACAAAGGCGGGCCATGCCCGCGCCGCCGCCGCCTCCCTTTACAAGTGCCTTCCCGGCGAGGCGTGGGGGGGGGGAACTTGCAAGCGCTCCATCTTCCTGACCAGATGCTAAGACCCTTCTGAAACGGAGGCCTGACCAGAGTGGCTTTCCAGCCGTCGTTCCCTTTCATTCCGGCTTCCCCCCCCCCTTACTCTTTTCCCTTCCGTTTCTCTCTCCCCTGCGAAAAGGAGCAGAAGGCGCCGCTGCCGCCGCCGGGGCGAAGGGCTGCCTCTGGACCTGCCAAGGGGGGGTGGCGGCGGCGAGGGACCCCCCCGCACCCTCTTACCTCAAGGACAGCCGGTCTCCTCTAGGCCGGATACGTGGCTGCCGCAGCCTCCCTCTTGAAAGTCTCCGGGGAAAGAGGAGGAGCGAGGCCCGGCGGAACTGAAGCCGCTTCTTGGGAAAGGGGGCGGAGGAGGCCCGTGGGGCGGGGGATCTCCTTCCCGCAAGAGGAAACCAGACTTTTTTTTTGGAGGGGGGGTCAGGCCAAAAGCACGTGTGAGCTGCCGTCTTTTCGGAATCTGGGAACACGCACTGCATCATTCTAAGGACCGTCGTGAGACTATACCTTCTAATCAGCGGAGAACACACACACACACACACACCATTTACGAGCCATCGCTGCTGGAGTTTGGACAAGGACTTATTTTAATGACCAATCTATATAGATGAGCAGTAATCTGCACTTTGGAAACACAAATTCTCTTTTAATATCTCAGCAATGCATTCTCCATCCAAGTCTGAGAAGAAAATAATATATTTTTTTGTGTCTGCTCGGTTGTCTTACTTACTTTCTCTTTTTGTTGGAAGTTCCTGTAAGATCACACACTTAACGGATAGATTATTAGGGATTGCCACGGAATTCCTTGGATTCAGTGTGCCCTATATAAGAAGGCATTGTAAATGGCCAGATCTTGAATTCTTGCATAATTTTTGTGTGGCCTTTAAATGGCTACATCAAAATAACTGCATTAGAGTCTGTCTTTTTCTCCTCTCTGCCTTTTATCTTCTTTGACTTGTTGGTGCAGTGTACAAATACAGCTGCTTGGCTGGCCTTTGCACCAGTGTTACGAGAGTACTTGTGAACAGAAATAAACTCTTCACGGATATCTCTTGTATTTAAGGTCTGTCATGTCCCTGTACTTGACAGCACTGTGTAGCCCCACTTCAAATCAAAGCACTTTGGTTTTTCTTATTCTCAGGAATGGTTTCTTTCCTATGATCAGAGGCCTGAACAAGCTCAGAGTATTGCCAAAGGGACACAGGGTGGATCATTCACTAATCTGTGTGCCTTCTTTGGGGCACAGACTATGTATAGTGGAGGAGCAGGGCACAGTCTTGGGTGAGAGCTACCAAGTGCTCCAAGGTTCCCCCAGTAACACTCATGCCTAAGTAACTTCAAGTAACTTTATAGGATTCAAAAGCAACTACAATTACAAATGTGTATATGGGTGTTAAAACAATTATTCTAGAAAACTGCAGGATTCTTTCAGATAATGATATTGGAATTTTTATTCCGAAGGTCCAACAAAGTATCTTTGTGGTCAGCTTCCTCTCCTCATTCTTCAAATAGCAGCAATGTCCTTTCTACTTGGAAAGGATACCTGCCGATTTATCCTAAGCATCTTTTCTTGGCATTAAGTCCTATTGAATCCATAGTATTTATTTATTTTATTTTATTTTATTTTATTTTATTTTATTTTATTTTATTTTATTTTATTTTATTTTATTTTATTTTATTTATATCCCACCCATCTGGTAGTTCTTGTCCCCATCTAGGTTTGATTCCTGGAACAAAATTTCCCAAAGACTTAAGTCCCAAGGTTAAAAAAGCCAGGATATGAGTTGTACTGTTTGAAATTGTTCAGGGTTTCTCACAAGACTCTAGCTTCAGTGCCAGCACCTCAAGTTAAAGCAGTGAGGGATGGAATTATAGGAAAGTTTCTCTCAAGATGTCACATTAGAGAGTACTGGGCTGTGTTCTTAATTTGGAATGCAAACCCTGATACGAGTTTTTTTAATGTAGAGATGAATCAAGGTTTATTCGGCTCAGCACTCTGGTTTACAGTACCCTTGACTACAGCTATGGCTTGTTAATTTAGACGTCACTATTAGACCTCAGTTAGCAGAAACTATAGAGTTAAATCAAGACAAAGTTTGGTGAGCTTACAACCTACTGAAATCAGGCACTTGAGCTGTCCAGTTGATCTGAACAGCAATTAAAACGGTATCTAGTGACACCTTAAAGGCTAACAAATTTTATTTAGCATAGGCTTTTGTGAACTGCAGCCCACTTCACCAGACAGACCAGTGTAAGTTTATGGATTGTTCCCCATCCCCTGAAATGCTGGTGATGGAAACTAATTTAAGGTAATTTTGTCTGATTCCACATATAGTTGGGAAATCTATTTCAAACATCATTTGTCCTTTTGGTTTGCTGGTATAGTATGTTGCAACCCTTTTTCCAGTTCAGACTTCACACAAACCATGATGTCTGAACTAAGATTGATTGTGTGTGTTCTGTTTTCAGATAACCAAAAGATAGAAATATATTTATAGATATTGTAAAGAAAATAAACAGCTCAGCTGTCAAAACCCCTTTTCAGTGTCAAGCAGGAAGAAAGACATGATTAACAGGAGGCAGAGTTCAGTAAATAGCCCCCGCACATTAATCTTCTTTTCTCATAAAAGCACATTTCATAAGCAGCTATACTAATCTTGGCTTAAAATGGAACAAATGAGCAATGTAGAGGTGGGTGGGGAGAAAAAAATAATGTAATAACCATTAGCATCAAGCTTTATTTTTAAATTGATAGTGTAATCCATGCACATCTGAGTGGAGCAAAAACAATTTTGAACTCTGCCAGCATATTTTACAATACAAATTTATATTCTATAATTCCTCAATATGCAGTAATATACAGTACTGTATATAAATACTGTACATTGCATTGAAATCACCTTGTAGTACTGTGGTTTACATGGCAGCATCCATGACTTGGCCTTTTAAGGTGAAAGAGAACAGCTGCTCTATTGATCCTTCTTAAGCAGTATATTCTTTATGCCAAACCACTTGTATAACTTATTCTGCAACTGAAATAATTCTTTGCAATTGTGCCCTGTATTTGAAACACCCGTGTGGGCTTAATCTATAATACTGAGTCGACTCCAATGAATACAGTCGGTTTCAGATAACAAAATTAACGTTTAGGACTAGTCCTACCATTAGGCAGAGTGTGGCAGCCACCTGAGGCATCTGATTTCAGGCATCAAGAAAAGGTAGGAAATTGTTAGCTACGTAATACTCTTTTCTTAACCTCAGGCCAGAAGAGTGTCCTGACCAGGATATATCCTGACCAGGATACCAACATTATTTTGGCCAGACTTGGATTGTGGTGAGGGAATGTCATGCTTCACTTGAGGCCATAAAATGCCTTGGGCTAAACTTATGTGCGTTTTTGACAAAGAACAGCAACAAAAAGCTGTGCTCTTTCGTACTGTTAATTCAAGTTCTTTTTTAAATGCCTGCATGTGATCACATGACACTGCTTTATCCAGCATCCAGGCTTCTGACTCCTCCTTTGGGTCCAAATCATAATCATCTTAGAACAGCAGAATCGGAAGGGACCCTAGGGATCATGTTAAGTGTTGGTGTTGATATTTAAAAAATGAATAGTTTAAGGTCATACTATTTCTGGGAACATCTTCTCCCATATATACGTGCCTGGATATCATCTTTATCTCCAAAAGCCCTCCTGTGGATGCCCCCCGTCAAAAGAAGCTAGGTAGGTGGTTAAAAAGACAGGGCGTTCTAATTTTTTTAAAATGTGGAAATGAAAACCTAACAAAAGAGGTGGGAAAACATGGGGAGCCCCCAATATATAGAACACCTTCCTCAATGAGGTTTCCCTGGCACTCACATTATCAGCACCAAGCAAAGACATTTCCTATTCTCCCAGGCATTTTAGATTTTACTATTTTAAACAGTAAAATCTGATGTACGTGTTTTTCATTGTTCCAATCTACATTGCACTGTTTACACTACTGTAATCTGCCCAAAGTATTGTTCAGGTGTGAATTAGATACAAGTAAGAATTTGATATATAAAGTCTGAACAGCAAATGTAATTACACATATTCCTTATAATGAACACAGATATACTTGAAAGTGCACTGGAAGGAGAGAAATAAAAAACAAGCCTATGGGATAAACGGAAGTACTGTAGTAGTTTTTCAGGGTCAATAGTCAGTGGAACGAAAAGGATAATAAGCAAGTAGCACATTTGCTTTTTAGTCATAGATCCATGTGTGATCACACCTTGTGTAGTCAACCAGTTCTTCAGGAGTGAACCATAGATTGATTTCAGTTTCTGCACTTTCCACAGAGTCACTTCCATGAATTATATTTCTAAATAAAAACAAAATAAAAAAGCAAATTAATTCAACTGTGCCACTATTAAACAAGCAGAAATTAAAACAACTTTTTGCTATTCTGTTTATACCAAATGATAATGAAAAAGAATGTTTTTTCCCATTTTAATCTTGCACATAGTCTTGAAAATACAGATACAGACTCAGATACATGCATGAGTATTGGGTCTTTTAGAGAAAGGACTACTACCCCTAATGATTAAAAGACATTTTCCTGAATACTTTGAGGAAGAAACATGGGATGGCTGCAAACAGAAGACAATATTGCCTGCATCATACCCCTTGCCTGCTTTCAAACAGACTGATGTCAGGATAATAGACCTGTCCAGAAGTGTCCTTATACATATATTTTTTAAAAATGTGTGGTGATACAATTAGTACCAATAATCTGTTTTTATCCATTTCTATCAAAAGAAAATGATTTTCCAGAGAGCTACAATCAACTATAATGTTCCAAAATCTTAATGTCAATAATAGTCCACCATTTTACAATGCCATTTTACAAAGTTGCCATAATTGCATCCTCAAAGAAAAGAATATCGTATGATGCATACAATGAGTTGTATCCAACAGGATCCTTCTGTTGTCGTTGTCACTTGCCATCACGTCACCTCAGACTTATGACAACCCTGTGAATGTGTGATCTCCCAAATGTCCTGTGGTCAACAGCCCTGCTCAGCTCTTGTAAACTTAAGCCTGAGGCTTCTAGGACATCAGTCCATCTTGTATTCGGTCTTCCTTTTTTCCTGTTGCTGCCTTCAATTTCCCCCCACACTGTTGTCTTTTCCAGCAAATCTTGGCTTCTCATCATGTGCCCGATATCAGCAGCAGATGCATCAGTGCCATGGAAGAGGAAAGTGCTGCCTCTCCAACTTCAAGGATGAGAGATTTCTCCACCAGAGTCGTAGCATTAGTCCAATATTTTTTATGCCTGGACTTAGATGTAAATGTGAACTAGTCAGCGAGGCAATTTTATAAGAAAGGAATTCTGCATTTACCTGCCAACTTGCACACAGAAGTCCCCACGGATTGTGCCAGGCTTTGAATCAGCAGGATTGGTTTCCCCCAGCATGACCCGACCAGTCTTGACTACATTAAGGCCTTCCCACACCTTTAAAAACCAAAGAATGGGGATCAATAGGAGAGCCATAGTAAGAAACAACATATAGCAAAAGAACAGCACCAGGATAAGGGGTAGAGTCCCATAGACACTTGCTTGGATACCAAGTTCATTTTCAGAAACTCTTCTAAGTGACCCTACCAAATGAAGTAGGACAGGTAGCTTTTAAGGAGACAGATGTTTCAGTGGCGGCACTCCACTCTCCTCAGACAGGCTTGCCTAGTGTCTACATTGTGGTTTTGTCAGCACCGAGTGAGGATTCTTCTTAGGCTTCTTGGTCCTTACATTTCCCTCAGCACTTACTATTGGTTTTACTTTAATTTTGTTTTATAGCTCTTATTTGCTTTTAGGGGTTTTGTGCTCTGTTTGATATATTTATATATCTGATAATCTTAGATCAAGAAAGGTATGGCCATTAGGAAATATAGAAACAAGATGAAATGTAATAAAATGAATGTGTGTGCGTGTGTGTGCAATACATTTCCAACAATTTCGCTTTCAAATTAATACTATTAATTCTGTACACACAACTAACAGCCCTGCTCAGTCTAATATAAGTACCTGGTTCCTACGTTCTTTGAAAATCTTTACTAGTAAACAACAGCCAGAATCCAGATCAGTGTTATGCACACCTAGGATCTGCAGATTATAAGAGGACATATTTGTGCAACTCTATACTTTATATGGTCATTTTCTGAGCAACAAACATATATCATAGGTGTTACTCACACAAGCATATAAAGCTGCCATTTATGGGATGAGGCCATACTGCGTGAGAACCTTGCTTTCTTTCTTCCCATATTCCAGTGTAATAGTGTTCCATAGTATTCCAGCAGAAATTAGTCTACTCTGATTAGGAGAAGTTTTCCAAGGTTTTTTAATATAAGGTAGAGGTTCCCCTTGACATTTTTAGCTCTGTCGTGTCCGACTCTAGGGCGCGGTGCTCATCCCCACCTCCAAGCTGTAGAGCCAGTGTTTGTCCGAAGACAGTTTCCGTGGTCACATGGCCAGCATGACTAGACATGGAACGCTGTTACTTTCCCTCCAAGGTGGTACCTATTTATCTACTCGCATTTTTTTCATGCTTTTGAACTGCTAGGTTGGCAGGAGCTGGGACAAGCGACGGGAGTTCACTCTGTCACGTGGATTCGATCTTACGACTGCTTGGTCTTCTGACCCTGCAGCACAGAGGCTTCTGCGGTTTAACCCACAGCACCACCACGTCCTATTTTTAGTGGTAAGCCTCTGCAATTAGCACTTCTGCATAAAACATGTTCTGTGAATATCAGAGACATACCACTGGAGAGCCCCCTATGCAATTTCTTTTCAATTTATTTGTTTTATGTCTCCACTGCCTTTCTCCCAGTTACCACCTGCTGGTAGCTTTTAGAAATCTTTCCTCTCCATCTTTTGTGAATAAGTGTTCTCACAGATTCACACTGTAGAATAAATAAGCATATCACCCATTTCTCCTCGTTGTGTGTACGGAAATTTTTACAGTAACAAGCACAACAATAAAAATAAGGAACTGAAATATGGAATTTGTATAATCACACAATTTTGGAGTGAGAAATCTGAAACAAACAATTGGGGCTATTTTGAGTATGGGTATGTAGCAAAAATTGCATCATAAGAGCAGCTCTGCTGCATATACATATTATATGCATAACAGACTGTCATGCCCTCTCAGGCAGAGTCTTCCTCAGACAATGAAAGCCTGGATGACATGCCTTGGCAGAAGGGATTGAGGCAGAAAAGGGCCCTAAGGCCCCAACTGCCAGCCTCTCCTCAGAGACTTTCAGTATTCCTTATTTATGATCTGTGGTGTGGTGTAATGGATAGAATAGCAATACTTCAAAAAGCCCAGAAACAGCCCGATATGGCTGCACAATATTGTGCCCGCACTGCCAACTGGAAAAAGGATGATGAGCTTTATTTATTTATTTATTTATTTATTTATTTATTTATTTATTTATTTATTTATTTATTTATTTATTTATTTATTTATTTATTTATTTATTTATTTATTAGACTTATATACCGCCCCATAGCACTACAAGCACTCTCCGGGCGGTTTACAATTTAATTATACAGGCTACACATTGCCCCCCCAGCAAGCTGGGTACTCATTTTACCGACCTCGGAAGGATAGAAGGCTGAGTCAACCTTGAGCCGGCTACCTGGGATTTGAACCCCAGGTCGTGAGCACAGTTTTAGCTGCAGTACAGCGTTTTACACAGCAAAGGGCAGCCTAAACGTTGATGACACCCATGTCATCAATCACGATTGTCTACAGATATCCTCTTATGCTCACCATCATTCACAAAGAGAAACCAAGCACAGGGAAATCCCAGAACCTGACTCCTTTTTTCATCAGTTAACCACTACTCACCCAAACACACAGCAATTGCCAGGGCCGTTTTTCAACAAGTTCTCTAGGTATTTATTGTTTGGAGCCAAAAAAGCCATCAAAAAGTCTAGAAGAAATGTGTCTTCAGAGATGTCTCTCCCAATACAGATGGCTGGCTGTGCTGTGCACCACGTTTAGTGGGACAGAAGCTCTCCAAATTCCTGTAAAATCCTTGGGGATTAACAATCCAATACTTTCCAGATGCACAAACATGTACTTGAGTGCACACAGTTAATCTGTGCCAAAAACTATTTTAATGGGCTGTTTTAGACTTAATGAAATGGTGGAAGCAAAACTGTGAGTGAGTGCAACAAATACAACAAAGAAACATATACACTAACTTCTCAGGTAAACTAACATTGGTATGCCAGCTCTGCAGAATACAGACTAGAAAGCTATCATCCACTTTCCAAAGCCTTGTTTTACAAACATGTTGCCTGCATGTTTCCCAAAATATGTCCCCTCATCTTCTGAAATAAAAAAGGGGGGGGGGCTGGAGGTAGCAAAGTTTGCCACTTGAAATAAATAATCCCTACTATGTAAAGGATAGAGTGATGAAAGGAGCGGGGGGGGGGTTAAACCCATCTGAAATGTGCTGTTGGAGGTGAGCCTTACAGATACTACAGGCCACCAAAAAGGCAAATAAATGGGTGCTCAATCAAGACAAGGTTAAACTCTCACTAGAGCAAAAATGGGTAAATTATGGCTACCCTGCCTTTCACATATAAAGAGAATTCAGAACTGACTAGAAAAGGCGACATTACTGGGAAAGGGAGGATAGTAGGAAAAGAGGAAGACCTAATGTGAGATGGGTTGACTTGGCAAAGGAATCCACAGCTGTTAGTTTGCAAGACCTGAGCAGATCTTATTGGAAAAGACAATATTGCTGGGAATGACAGGCAGTAGGAAGAAAGAACGACCTATCATAAGATGCTGTTGGTTTGGAAGATCTGAGCAGAATTGTTAATGGCAGGGCATTTTGGACGTCCTTCACTCACATAGTCACCACACATCAGAAGTGACTTGATGACACATAACATATTGGGATTTTTTTTTATCAAAGAATTGTATAGTGACAAGATGGGTGGAATAGAGACTATGACAGGAGACTCTTAACATGATATAAGCACCAAAACTCGGCTAACATCAAGTCCATCCCCAGCCACAAAGGAAAAAAAAGTACTTTTACAGCTTAAATGAGTGAGCTTCTGAATGTTTGTTTTGTATTCTTTTAAAAATATATGTTAAAATATTTTCAATATTTATATTTAAGACAAATATATTTTTATTTAAAAATTAATATTCTTGGTGTATCTACTTTTACAATTAGGCACAGAATCCCCTTGTAAGCATGATTCTGATAAGACTGTCCAGGAAGGAGTTTAAAAGTTAGCGAGCTAATTAGGTCCTGACTGATAAGGTCAAAAGTGCAGATTGCCCTAGACATGGAGCGGATTCCCTCTTTGAAAGCTTATGTGAGAAGACTATTTGGTCTCAGAAATCCTGAGAGAATGTTTATTGAAGATACATGGCAAAATAGCCCCCTTTTTGGAGGACTGTCAGTCCATTACTTTCTTCAAAGAGAGACTGGTTTTTACTTTAACTCTTTAAAGGAAACCTATCTGTTTCTGTGACCGTTGTCTCTAAATATCTCCCTCTCCCCTTACAAGTGTATACAATGTTTAATTTCACTAAGCTCTTGCTGGCTCAGTCTTATAACAAAGTGACTGGGTCCCCCCCCCTTTGAAAGGCCTTTTTTGAGGATCAATATTTCAGCCTCTGCAGCCTGGATTCTCTCCCAATTAAAAAAGTGGGTGGTGTGAACCATTCACTTTCAAGATAAGCAAAATCAGTCTTTTTAGTTTATATGATCTATTTTAAATCTGGACATCTTTAGAATTGCCGACTTCTGAATGGAAAACAATTTTACTTAAATAATAATAATAATAACTAAAAAGCCCTTTGTCAAAATTTCACCAAATGTGACACAGGGCAAGAGCAGATTGACTGCTACACCTGTGCCAAATTTGGTGCCGATCCAAATTCCAGTTTCAAAGTTCCAATTTTTTGTTTGGATTGCCCCCATTTTTAGAATTGCCTTGTGGAATGTCGGTCTGCTGCACAATAATATTGGTACACAGTCATGAAGCAATAATTCAGCTTTCCTTTCTTCGACAAGTATAGTATCAGAGCTTGGGAATCCACAAAGTGCTTCCAGGAAAGGATTTTACTGCACATCTGCCTTACCTCATGCAGATAATTTTATAAGGGTTGAGGGGGAGACAAACAGTGTTGCCTTCCCTGTGTAACTGAGCCATGTTTTCCAGTTGTTTCACCCCCTACCTCCATCCCATGGAAGAACAAAAGAAAATACAGCAATTGTGTGATGCTTTTGATTGGTAGTGTTAGGTATGGACACATTCTGGAAACACCCACAGAAGTGGAAGTATCTATTCTTGTAATACTCGTTAGAAGGAGAAGGGAGGGATTTCCTCCCTCCTATCCCTGGCCGCCTGTAATATTGCTGGACGCGATTAGTGCTTTTCAACAGCCGATCCTAAGAGAACAGTGGGAAAGCAACAGTGAGCCAGGGAGTTACGCAGTTATTATGGTCATTATTTATTTATCTTTCAGTGTTGTTATCTAGATAGGAAATTACTAGTTAGATCATTAAAAGTCATATTACTCCATAGTTGCCATACTCTTCTAATTCCCCCCCCCAAGAATATATATCAATTCTAAGAATAGCAAGAAAACCCGTAATTTAAGCGGAACTCAGACCACACATTCCTTCTTAAAATTTGCTGCTCGTAATTTAATTACTTATAAAGAAAACAAGGTTTATTTGTTGAGTACTTACCATTGCGACAACAGGCCCAGAGTGCATATATTTAACTAAACCAGCATAGAATGGCCTGTCTTTCAGGTCAATGTAATGTTCTCTGAGGAGATCTTCAGAGGCCTGCAGGAAAAAAAATGCTTAGGATAAGTACTTAAGAGCATCTTATGTCACATAACATTAGCCACAGGAATAGTATTAATCCTTAAGATACACGCTTGTTTTTCCAAGACTGGTTTTGGTACTTTGTTAGAAGACCAGTTTAGCTGACTGATATAAATTTTGAATATTATTTAACTTGATTTGTTCAGTAAGATGCTTCCCACTCAAGTCACTTCAATCATTTTGCAGTTCAGTAATATCCAAAGTATTTAGTTTATAATGTACATCTGAGGACACACCCTTCAGACTAAGAAGAGCTGCTTACTAAAATTAGAGTAATCAGCATGGCTTTATCTTCTGCTAGACATTGGAAAGATACTAAAATATTAGGCTATCTTATGAAATAACAGATTCTTCTGCTTGAGATCCATTTGATAGCCCTATCTTTGCTGTCCTACTGTGAGTAGACCAAGACCTTTCTCTTCAGGCAGGATTTCACTTAGTAATTGACTGCCTGAGAGGGAGTTTCAAATTAAGTGCTGTGCTTTGTTGCTTTGAATCTGCTTTTGGTGTTGATTTTGTTTAACATTTTTAGTGTGGCATTTGATTAATTTTTAATATTTGTGTACATACTGTTTATAGCTTTTAAATATTGTCTTTTAATTATGTAAAATATTTTAAATAAAATTTTGATTAATTAATTTCTGATGGATGAAAGAACACCTCGAAAGAGGAAGAAAACTTACATGCATGAATTTCATGCCTATCAGTTTGAACCCTTTCTGTTCAAAACGTTTGATAATTTCTCCCACCAAGCCCCGCTGGACTCCATCAGGCTTGATGGCTATGAAGGTGCGTTCAGTCATCGTCCTATCACACAGAAAAGCAAACAGTTACAATTATAAATGAAAAATACATTCCAGTATACATATGTCCACACATGAAGAATGCAGTCTGTCGTTCCATGATGCTTTAGGCTAAGATGGAGTGCAACCCACCAGCTCAATGGATGAAGCACAATATGCACACAGAATATTTGAGGAATGCAGAAATGAGGTGGTCAACTGAAATGGGATTTGTATTGCAGATACACCCCAGGTCACATGTTAATAGAGATCTAACCAAAAAGAAAGAAAGAAAGAAAGAACCAAAATTTCTCTATTTGTAATTTGCATCTAGTATACGAGGCATGTCCAAAAGGCTCTTATAAGAAAATTATGACATGACATAGATGGAGCCAAGTCCGAAGATATAATGGTTCACTTTGGAACATGGCAATTTGATATCATTCTCCACACAGTGCAAATTGTATGACATTTAATGCAAAACACTGTGTTTGGGTGAAGATTAATATCACATTTCACACACTTCTCTGCTCCAACGTTAAGACCAATCTCACATGGAATTATTTGGAACATCCCACTGATTTCTTTGAAACTTTCTTTCAACCAAGCATGTCTGAGAGCAGAAGGTTAAGATAAAACCAAAACCACCTGTAGCCTTATTCCAACAAGAGTTGAAACAATAACAAAACAGCAACAGTTAGCTTTCCTAGGTATATTCCACATCACCCCCAGCTGCCCCTACAGGGCCGGATGCCTCTAAAGTCCAAATGCTTTCCACATCCCTTCCCCTTCATATTCCCCTAAATCTACCAATCTGGGTCTGGATCCCCAAGTGCTATCCTGTATGGGCATTCCCTAAGCATCCTCCAATATCCTGCACACCCCCTCCCTAATTCCGCCCTTCCCTCTCTCCTGCTTCCACCATGGCTAGTTTACCAGCAAATCCCCTAAAAGCGTTCCTACCTGCCTGAGTGTTGCGGCGGTGGCTGCTGCTGATCTGCGAGTGCTGGAGGCTGTGGTAACACGGAGGTTACTGCAGCACCCAGCCTGGCGACATCCCAGCCTCACAGCTGGACTCTTTTCCACAGGAGGCTCATCCCCACGCGTCCATCTGCTGCTGCCTGCTTGGAGGAGCTCCACTCTGCAGTTTATGGGTTGCACAGAACAACCTTCTCAGCTCCCTGGACGCCCCCTACTGGTGGCTTCAACGACACACAGAACCTTTCGCCCCCCCTCCCCTTTTAAAACTGATCCAAAATTCGTAGCGCAGCAGCAGCAGCATCTAGGTACACTTAGACATGCTGATAGTGTTTGAGGGTTACTTCGACAAGGGTAAAAATGAAATAAATGTATTCAAAAGAAGGACAAATGCTTCTTCTGTACAAATAAATACAGCATGCTCAACGTGGTAATATGTGTACACAGACATGCATATGAAAGTCACTGGGAACTTTTTGCTACAAGGGACCAAAAACAAGGCTATCCTTAGGAAATCAGAACTCCCCGATTCAAAAAGTCAGGAGGGCCCCCTTCATATATTCCAAGCAGCTCCAGATTCTATGACTGGCATTTTTGAGATGTTTTTAATTTCCAAAAGAAAACACACGGTGAGTAGAAAGATTCCTGATCTTGGTTCCTACAGTGTTTCTTCCCCCACAGCTGAAAAGTTGCTTAGCTGTCACATAACTGGAACAAAAGAGCGTAACCCTATAAAGAGATCTTAGCTGAATCGTTACTAGATATTTGTTAAAGTTACATAAATATCGACTGAAACCCTGTTACTTGGCATAGTAAATCACAACTAGGGTAGCCCCATTGAATTAGTGGGGATTTGGTGAATCAACTGATTCAGTTGGCCTAATCTACTTTTGACTTACTACACTAAACAACACAATTTCAGCCAGTGTGATTAACAACCAGATAGATATTCCCTACTAGTTTTTTTAATGTAGTATTTCCACAGACTGTTTGCTCTTTTCTCTTCTACAAGGCGTAGCATTCATATAATTTCAGCCTCTCCATCTTCCTCATCCTTTCACTGCTCCCTTCCTATAATCTTTATTTATACCTCAGACTTTTGCCATTTGGCTTTTAATCCACTCATCGGATTGAACCTGCCTTTTTTTTCTTCCTGAGGCTGCTCTTGATCCTTTCATCCTCTGCTCTTTAACACCAAAACTATGATCCTAGACAAACTCATGATACCAGAATTTTAATGTAGCCATGCCTGAGAATGCAAGCCACTGCATCATGACTGTACATCCAAGATTTGTATATTTCTGTTATACAGTGAGAAACATTTAATGTTACACTTTCCGGCCCCACTTAGGCTTTCATCCTCTGTCTACATGATATAGCAATTTTTTATCCATGATTTGGGTCTAATTTTATAAACAGGAGAAATTTGTAGTGGATTGACTGCATCTTATAAAGGGATTTCCTGCTGCCACTGACTCACTATTTATCCTCTACCAAGTCACTTTCTCTCAGTATTTCCTATTAGTAAAATGACACTGCTTGTGAATGAACAAGAGATTGCTGCTTAGGTCAAACCAGATAAATGCAATAATCCATTTAACACATCTCATTTGTTTTTAAAATAGCAACTGTGGTGGGCACAGGCTGGCTAGGAGCACAGGGAAGGGAGATTAACCTTTCTTCCACTGTTGAAGACCTCATGAAAATTGCCCATCTTCTTCTTCAAATGGCCCATTCTATGTCCAGTCTTCCTGGATTAGTCAGATGAGAAGATCAGGCAGAACAAGACACATGACTGACAAGGGGCCAAATCACTAGCTGGCCTGGGTAGAAACCATACAAAAGATAAACAGCAGCCCTGTTGCTAATTCTGGGGGAATTTTCTGAGGTCAGTCTTCTTTCTGTATTTATCTCTGCTGGAAGCCTCCTGCATATCCGTGCCAGGTCTCTTTGTGCAGACTTCATTTCTTAGCTGAAATCACTGTCTTAGCCCCCTAGAATTCAGGATTCAGTTCTTCCTGCATGCAAGGGGACATGGACACTCCTAAGAAGAGAGGCAGTGGCTTCTTTACTAAAGCCCCTTGATGTCATGTAGGTAGAGCATGGATGGGCAACTTCTGATCATTCAAATCTGATTGGAATACAACTCCCATTGTCCCTTGCTCTGGATTATGCTGGGCTAACCAACAATATCTGGAAAGCCTTCTGGAGGTCTTGAACCTTTCCTGAAGAAACCAACAGCTTTCCAGCGCAAGGCTGCTGCTCAGATGATACTGTACCGCAAATGTTATGTTTGTATTAACATTCTTGTAGCAGGGACAAGTGCATTGCAAAGCAGATAGAAGGAAGCTGTTGCCACATGAATATACAGTAGATAGAATGAGAGCTACGTGCAACCTCTCTAGTGTGCCAGGAGCCAAGCCTATAATACCTTTTTTTTTGTTCCAGCCATTAACAAAGATATAGAGCATCATACCATGCCTGGAATCCAGAGCTCCCAGCCATATAGCTACGTTAAGTCTCAAAAGGGTTCCTTTTGGAGTTCCCGCTTCTTGGAAGAACAGCATAACTAGAGTTACAAGAGGTCACAGGCTTGATCTCTCAGTGGAAGGAGATTTGAATGCAGCCATCCTGTGTCACCCAGAGGTTACTTAGGCACGAACAGGTCATACAGTAATCCAATTCTGTCAGCCAAATAAGGAGTCCTTGACTTTGCATTAAAAGAAATCACCATTCATTCCACTAAGGAAATTGCTATCATAAGCATGATTCCAGAAGGATCATTAGGCAAGAACTAAAGAAGTATTCTCCAGAAAATGATGGTTTTGTGCCATCATCTTCATATAGTCACCGTGCGCTGACTTGCACTTTCCTCACATTCTGTGGAGGTGTTTTGAGTGCCAGACTGGTGGACCACAAGGGAGTACCTGGAAACCCTGTGGGAGTGCCACAATTATATAGGACTTTCTAACAATGCTGCCTTCTTCTTCTTCTTCTTTTTTTAAAGCTTGCTGTTGAGAATGCATAGAAATGTGATTTTATTATAGTGGTATTGGCGTTGGTTGCAGAGGGATCAACCTCCTGCACCCAACACAAGGTTGTCCTGAAGCCAGATGTCCTGAAATGCTCCTTTTGAATGACTGCCAGTACAGCAACTTGATCTGTGATAATGATCTTAATCAATGATTAAATCTACATCTCTGTCTCTGCACATGTAACTTACCAGAGAATTTAAACGACATGGTATATATCCTAAATAATGGCTCGCCCTGAAATAATCTAGAAATGATGGTGCATTGCTAGTCTGATGCAATGAAAAAAACAATGTTTTGATCTTCTATTGCTGATCTATAGTATTTTGATCTTCTATTGCTGATCTATAGTATTCACCATAGATCAAATGGCATGCAACAGTAGATGTTAAATTTGGTGGTCATCAACCTAAAAATACCATGTACATGTGACTGAATATTTCTTAACACACATCTGAGGCTTGTTGCTGTAGGTTTTATTCTTTACACATAGTTACTAAAGTTTATTCTATCACTGTAGAAATACAGCGCTGAATGTTTTTTGTTCAGGTATAGGATATACTGACAATTATTGAAACAAATATAATTATTCAACAAAAAATTAATATAATTCTAGTTCCAAGTATTTCATTGAATGGTGGATGACATCTTCTTAGGCATCCTTCAGTCCCGAGAGACTATGGTAATGTGCTCTATATTGAGGACTTGGAACAGCGTCTAGTGTGGCTGAAAAGGCCAATTCGAGAGTGACAATCCCTTCTACAATGAAGACAAATACAGTCTGTCCCCTGTCCAGCTCCCTGATTTTGCTGCTTCCGGGACTGCCTCTTTGCCTCAGCCTGCTGGATAAGGGTCTCTTCAAATTGGGAGAGGCTGTGATGCACCGCCTGCCTCCAGGCTGAACGCTCAGATGTCAAGTTTTCCCATCTGTTGAGGTCCATGCCTAAGGCCGTCATAACCCATCTGTATTTGTGTCTCTTGGTCTCTTTTGCATAGGTAATTTTTAAGAATGCTCTTCCAGACTCTCTGACCTGGCAATCAGCTCTACTGAACACATCAATACTTCTTCTGAGTTATGCCTAGCGAATATGCTATGATTAAATTATTAGGTATTGCTGCTCTCTAGTGGGAATCAATGCAATAGCCCTAATAAAATACGTTTCTCTTGCAATTGGTTTCTGTAGGCCATCCTTCTCCTTTAGCATATGTTTCCCCTTTGGGACTGATAGCTATTTAAGAAATACATCGGAGAATGGAAGAACCTCTGTTTTCGTGTTGAACCCAAATTTGCTCTTCCTGCCCCCATTTCTTATTCTGGAAAGACACAGAGGCTCTAATTGGAAAAGGCCCTCTGAACACGCAACAGTCACTACAGTTTCAGTGCAATTAATAACTGTTTTAAGAAACTAACAATTTGCGTATTTAACATCATGAGTTAAAACAGCAATAACACTTAGTAATCTCGAATCACATAATACCCAGAAACAGCTGCAACACGTTTCTACATCCACATTTACCACACATTGAGATCTGTTTTGGCCAAACGTGGAAAGGAATACAGCATAGATGCCAGGTGAACAGCTTTAAGGATGTGATTCCCTAGCCACGGCACCACCACTTAAAAGGGTATTATTTGTTGGTAAGAGATTAATTACACCATGTTCTGCTCATAAGAAGCAAATATGTTCTGTTGAGTTCAGGGGGTTTACTCCTAAGTAAGTGGGTACAGTACTGTAGCCTAACATAGTTACCATACTGGAAATTGTGTAAATAAATTATAACTTAAATGTAAGTGGATCTCTATTAGTATCAAACTGAATTCCATACGTTTCCTCTCAGTTTTACTTGCTCACCCTCTGCATACACTTTTGGCCAAACTGTAGCATTTCCTGAATAAGCAGAGTGGAGGGTTATCTCCTAATTTGGTTTCCATCTCCTTTGCTTCCCAGTTCTTTTTCCTTGTTTCTTTACAGAAGAGAAAATTGTTACAAACCGAGCACTAGTACCTCTGGCAATGAAATGCTGCAGTGCAACAAAGTGCAGGGTAAGAAGATGCAGTGAGTGTAGCAGCTGTGAGAGTTCAGCAGCAGGGCGAGGAAGCCAGGGCCCCAGATACTGCCTGTCACTTCCCTTGAGAAAAGGTTTGGCAAGCTCT